TTCAAGTACTTGAGAATGTAAAGTGGAAGACAGCTTACAACAGTGATTGCTGACACTTTCCACAGGAAGGTCACAGTTGTGATAAAGGCAACATCTGCAGAAACAGAGAGCAAAAATTCATAATGGGAGCTGATAACATGGAAACTGGAGCTTTCGTATTGCAAAGTCGATCAATTCTCTTAAAGGTTTGCTTATGCAAATTAGAACAAATTAAGAACAGACAAATCAAGCAAAAGAAACAACACAGAGAGAAAGCTAACCTCAACATTTCATTTTTGCCGATTATTTTCTTTAAATGAAAGCTTCAGAGTCCCTTTATGCTCTTTGCACAGTTTTGCAGCACAAGGTGATTTCAGCGGAACCGGGATCTCAGCTTAGCACCAAGAGTTTCTCATGTTAAAGGTTAAAGCGGTTTATCATTTTTCTACTCCTACAAACTATTCATACCTACTATAATTTCCCAACCAGAGATTCTGCTAATTTTCTTGGATGCTATATTTCACATTCGGATCATTTTTCTCTGAAACAGACACAACGACCAGACCAAATGATTCTTAAAACTTCAGAAATTAATTCACAGCCCGAAAATGTAAAGAGAAAGCAATGTGATTGTATTGCCACAAGTCACAGTCAGAAGCTACTTTCTGTGACAACTATGACAACAACAGTGGCATCCTACACTTGCCACTGAAATTTTGGACCATGTTTTGCAATGGTCAGGTTGTACTTAAGAATCACAGAACCCCCCCGACACCTCCCTCCACATCCCCCACCCCACAAGTTATCTTCCAGAGAAGTTAAACTTCACCTACCTAAGAAAGCTCCAAAAGACACTCTGCCTATACCTGTCACACAAGGGTGAGAACGAAAATGAAAGGATAGTTTTACAGAAAATACGGAAGTTATGTGAAAAGAATATTAGACAAGAAGACTAGCTACAAAAAAACAACAACAACAAAAAAGGAAATGGAAAAGACGTTAGTAGCATTAACTGGAATATTACTGCTTTTCACATGACAGTCAGAAGGTTTTAAACAGCAATTCAACCCAAAATTTGAAAATAGATTCATTTGGTTATGTTTTGAGGCTGTAAGTAATTAGGCAGTTCTCTTGCATTTTGCCTGAGTCCTCTTTGAAGCATAATCAAATGTATAAGCAACTTGATTAGAGCTGTTTTAAATGTGAATGAAAATTAACTCCAAAATGATTCAGCTAAAGAAATGCTTTAGTGCTCCAACTTTGCTCATTTAAGAACACTTTCTATATTAGATTTCAATGTATAATTTTGATGTATTGTTTTAGCCTAAGCCTGCTCAGACATACTAAGAGCCCACGTAACACATCATTGAGACGTGCCTAAGGAAGTCACTGCATGCAGTTAATTCAGAAGCCTAAAAACTGAGTTACTTCCAGGACTTGGAGCTGTAGAGCAGTATCAAGTCTTTTTTTTTTTTTAAAGCACATTTATGAACACCACCTAGAGGTGTTTCTCAATGAGAAATACCTAGAAGGGATGGAAGGACTTGCTGCTATCAACATTAATGGTGATGAGGAGATGGTTGGGCTGGATGATCTTATAGGTCGTTTCCAACCTTGTGATTCTATGATTCTAACATGGATGATTTTAAAAGGCAAAGCAGCAAATTGTGCTTTATGAAGTTCCTTGAAGATTGGAGCAAAGAGCTAGTGCTTGTTCATCATCTTGCCAGCTGGCTGGGGACACTCTGGAATCAACCCAATGGTCTCTATTGAAGAATCTTGTATCAGTGTCAGAGAAATGAAAAAGGTTCTCCATAAAGCCTGAATTAGAGTGTAAAATTAAAATGCGACTCTTCATACATCTGGAAGTTAACAGATCACTTGAGACAGGTGGCAGAGCATTTAGCAATTAAAAAAAAGTCGTGTACAACTGAATGCTTGGGACAACAGGGAGTGAAAGCAGAACCTTGCAATTACTAGAAACTACCATACAGCACATTTAATTCTGCTATGAGAAGTAACAAGAAAGGATCTTACTGTCATCTCCTGTAAAACAGAGGAAGGAGGAGCCTGATGCTACTCCTATACTGGGGTATAATCACAGTTATTTTGTGTATTTCTGTAATTTACATCCATCAAATCACACAAAGACCAAGATAATTTTTTTTTTTAAGTGAAAGACAATTTGATATAAAAAGAAATATGTATTATTGACACTCAGATGCTTGGACTGTTAAAAGGAGAGAACTGTAAATCTTGTGAATTATGAATGAGAACCATAAGACACAGTGTGGCAAAATGTACTTTAAAACAAAGCAAGTTATATAGAATCTTATTGTAGTTATGAAATAGACTGATTATATAAAATATCAATAACTTTCTGCCTCTGTTTTAGCCTGTATTGCTAAACCTTCTAGTTTGGCAATGCCTCAGCTCTTGGGCTAGAGGTAATGAGACAGAAAGATCACCAGGTCGGTGAATGATTCTCATTTAATCAAAACATATCCATTTCAAGTACAAATCTCAAGGACAATTTAAGATGAGCAGCTTGGATTGTCGTTGGAAGATGAGATCAAGGAGGGGAAGAGCATGTGAGGTTTGATTTAAAAGTTTATCACCCAGATAAATCATATTAACAGGAAAAACGACAATCAAACCCTGGGACAAGTAGGCAGAAGAGTATTTTAAAACAACATGAATTAAATCCATATTCTTACAGAAAAAGCTCTATTTCATAAAGCATAACATCATTCTTAACCAAAATGAGAAAAAAACACTTCAAAAATTTTGTTTAAAAACTTTGCTAAAACACTATTACTTACCAAAGTATTCATTTAGAAATGCAAGAGAGGCCACATAGCAGCCAAGACTGAGAAATTCAGCCACCACCATTAACCAGTGCCATGTTCGTATGGTCAGTGCAACCATCAAGAGCTCAGTCAAGATAAGGGCAGTGAAGGAAATGGCAACAACATGTACAAATTCAGATTCAAAAAGCAGCAGGGCTCCATACATCAGAATACCACCTGGGAAAGGCACACAAATTTAATAAAACATTCTACAGTGCCATTTTAGTTCAATTGCACACTGAACATTTTATTGCTTATTAGGAAAGTTTACTCAGTGTTTTTTTTTATATTATTATTTATTTAAACTGTTATTTAGATAATAGGTAACATGAATGTTTGTAAAAAAGAGATGTGATATTTACTGTGCTTTTTGCATGTGAAATAAAAGAAAACAGAGCAGTGAAGAAACAAAACTGTTAGAAAGCTAAGTACCTTTTCAAGCAAAATATCTGATGAACTGTCAATTAACCTGATTTTGTCTAAATGACAAAATAATAAGTGAAAGTGTAATTACTTTTAACTGATTACATAATTCAGATTTCTTCAACAGTACTCCTGTCATTCCATGAAAGAAAACTACTGTGTAAGGATATGCAATGTGATAAGCACTCGCTGAAATTTTTCTGCATTAGAACTTAATTAAAGTCATGTCCTTCTTTAGACGACACGCATCAATAAAAGTAACAACCCATGCCAATCCACAGGCCTGGCACACTGCAGGAATCTCGATTTACAAGATAAACAGAAAGCAATATATATAACTGCTGATGAAATGTTAAGCTTTGGGAATTTAACCTGCTCCTGAAAAACTATACACAGCAGATAAAAATACAATAGCAGATACAAAATTCTCAGTTCAATCAATTCACGACTCTCTCCTACCTTGGTAAATACTGATTAAAACCCAGATGAGGAAGGTCTTAAATGACAAAGATCTTCCCTAAGGGAAAGAAGTGAGAGGACAGTTAAACACTACTTAAAAAAAAATCTATTAAATTCATATATTTTAATAGTTAAGCACTCCAGAGACATTTTACAAGTATAACAAGCAGTCTTTGAAGTGATACAAGCTAAAAAGCTTCTGCTCGTTTTTACGATCATTCACTGCAAATGTGCATAGAAATTGCATGCAGTTAAAATTGGGGGCAGGACAGTTAAGGTCTTAAATGGCAAACACACACTTTGCCTTGCAGTGCTACGGTTAGTTTTCAGAAGACCAATAACAGTCATATTACACACTTTTTAGTGTTTTTACGTCTTATCACAAAAGCAGTCTGCAAGAAAAATAACATTCTGCACCTATTGACCTAAACTTCAAGAAAACCATGGTTACAAGTCACTTCTCCATGTTGGATGAACTATTTTCAGTCACACCATAAACATGACTGCTACTATAAATTTTATGCAAGCACCAAAAATATTTTAAATCTTGTGATAGTTACAGTTTGAATCATATGCATAAACCAAACAATAAAAGCTGAACGCATTCAGGACTCTTGTATTCTACGAGTATTGATGAAATATGGTAAGACTGCAAAGTTAAAAACGATAAGCAGTTAGCCATTTTACCACAGAAGAACTGATCATCCTAGGATACACAAGAATCAGAACTTTACAGAGAAATTTAAGTGCTTCACTGCTGTAGAAACTGATTAATTAATTCATTTGAGATGGTTTCAGTATGGGCTAAAATATTTTCTTAGATACACAGAGTTCACAGTAAGCTGCTAAAGGCATTATCACACCTCTGTATACAGTCTACTGGTTACCAACATACAGAAAAATACTCTGTTTTGTTGTTGTTTTGTCTGTTTCTTTTTTTTGTTTTTTCATTTGAGTGTCTACTCATTTTCCTTTCAGTACCATGCATTATTTCCACTGTAGACCTTAGCTCCCAATTACTGAGATTTGTAAAGTAAGAATAAGCTTGAGTTTTGATTCAACTTTATGAAACTAGGATTATGTCACTTCTAAGACTCTAGCAAATGCTACACAACAGGCAACAAATAATTTTCAGATGAAAGTAGCCAGCCCTCACAGAATCATAGAATGGTTTGAGTTGGAAGGGGGTTCCAATCCCCATGCCTTGGGCAGGGACAGTTCCTACTAGGTCAGGTTGCCCAAAGACCCAACCAACCTGGCCTTCAACACCTCCAGGGATGAGGCATCCACCACGGCTTCTCTGGCAACCTGTTCCTGTGCCTCATCACCACTGTAATGAAAAATTTCTTCCTAATAACTAATTTAAACCTGCCTTCTTTTAGTTCAAAGACATTACCTCTTATCCTGTCATTACAATCTGTGATAAGGACTCTTTCCTTGTCTTTCTTCTAGGTCCTCTTTAAGCACTGAAAGGTCTCTATAAATTCTCCCCATGCATTTCTCTTCTTAGGACTGAACAACCCCAACTCTTCAGCCTTTCATTGTAGGAGAGGTGTTCCAGCCCTCTGATCATCCCCATTGCCTTCTCAGGATCCACTCCAACAGGTCCATTGGCCATCTTATGCTGGAGGCTCCAGAGCTGAATGCAGGTCTTCAAGTGGGGTGCCATGGGAGCAGTAGAGATGGGGACAATCACCTCCCTCAATCTGCTAGTTACACTCCCTTTATGCAGCCCTCAATACTGTTGGCTTTCTGGGCTGCAAGCACAAACTGCTGATTCATATTTAGTTTTTAATCTACCATTCTCAATCTGCTGCTCTAAATCCACCCATCATGAAGTCTGTACTCATGAATTTGCTCTGACATGGGTGCAAAACTTTACACTTGGCCTTGTTGAACTGTATGAAGTCCCTATAGGCCCAACTCTCAACCCTGTCCAGGTCAATCTGTATCATATCCAGATTGAAGTAATTTTAATAATTGCTGATTTTTGCTTGTTCTTGCAATAGGGAGTCTGTCAATGAGTTGTGCAAGCATATTTTAATCTTAATATCCTGAAAGCTCTTTCACCATCAGCATATCCTAGAGAAGAAACCAATTCCTAGGAATACAATTCTAGTCTATGTCAACACGCACTTGAGTAACGCTAGCTGAACAGCATTGCTAGAGATCTGTATTATAATACAGAATTTGCAAAGTAATGTGCAGAAACAAGTACACTCCCTAGTGTCACAACTAGGACACCATGATCATAAGCTGTTCCAATAAACACACACAGTAAGATTACCTTATTATAGTGAAGTAAAATGTAGCACATGTAAAGCACTTCTTGTCTATTCATCCATAATCATTCAGTGATCATCTTCTGCTTGGCATATACTGAACCATTAACGTACTCCCTAGTTGCTCCACATTGTCATTTTTATTATTATTATTTTCTAAAAGTAATTTGTGTTCTACATTAACATTCACAGAGGTACAATGTAAGCTGGGAAAGCCAGTAAATCATTACCTCCTAGAATTGTCATTTAAGCTTGGAAAATCTTAAGTCTGCCATCATCTACCATGCATCCTGGGCAGTTTCAGAGTGCAGGTTAACTTCTTTCTATCTTTTGAAACAGAAAAATCCCATCAGCAGGTTTCCACAGACTAGCTTACAACTACCCATAGGAACTGAGAGATACACCTTCTGGAGATAAAATCTGCGATCTCAAAGAAACTTAAAAGATACTGAAGAAGAGATCTCCAAATAGAAGAGAAAAAAATTGTCATAGACTAACATAGTGAATAGCTAATTTAGTACAATTCAAATGACAAAGGATCTGCAGTGTCAACTCTATGACTGCAGTCTACTTTTGAAATCTTACATATGTCTTTGAAGAATACACTGTCCTTAGAACATCTTTCTTCTTGCTTCTGCTTTGTATCATAACACTTCTAGCAAACAGTTTAAAATAGAGCTGGAGTGCTTTTCAGAAAAAAAACTTAAGAAAACTCTTGTGATTTAATCCATATTTGTGGGTAAAGAAACAACACCCTTCTATTATTTGCAGATATATGTACGGAAACTGAAAGTATAGAATCACAGAATCATTAAGTTTGGAAAAGATCTCCAAGATCATCTAACCCAACTGTCCACTTATCACCAATGTTGCCCACTAAACCATGCTCCTCAGTATTACATCTACGCCTTTCCTGAATACCTCCAGGGACAGTGACTCAACCACCTCCCCAGCAGCCCATTCCAGTGCCTGAACACTCTTTCAGAGGATCAGTTCTTCCTAATATCCAATCTGAACCTCCCCTGGTGCAACTTGAGCCATTCCCTCTTGTCATATTGCTAGTTACCTGAGAGAAGAGGCTGACCCCTGTCTCGCCACAATCTCCTTTCAGGTAGTTGTAGAGGGAAATAAGGTCTCCTCAGAGCTTCCTCTTCTCTGCACTAAACAATTGGCTCAGTTCCCTTAGCCACTCCTCCTAAGACTGATGCTCCAATTCCCTCACCAGCTTCACTGCCCTTCTCTGAACACGCTCCAGAGCATCTACGTCTTTCTTGTAGTAAGCAGTAACTGCATGATGATTCAGCAAAGACATTTCAATCATTGATACCCATTATTTAAAGAAAGTCAGCTTTAGGAGAGAGATCAGTAATAATTTTCAGAAGACAGGAAAAATCAATCCATAAATTAAATCTCTTAGTTAAAAAAGGAGCTGTGAAAAAATAACCATGAAAAGCTCCTTATCGAAGCTCCTAAGGTCAGACTAAGAGCAAATTTTGTAACAATATGCCTTTACGACTGAATTATTTCAGTCTGAAGTCTGGTGACTTAGAAATCTATTAACAAAACCTAGTGGAACATCTGGGACCACAGATTACTTTTGCAACACAGAAGTCTGCATTACATTAGTTACACATTTATCTGCATGGAACACCTTACAAAAATGATTCTAAGAATTCAGAGTTTTTCACACCAGCAATTTCAACAGTTCTTTGTATTTCAGCACTGAGAACATTCATACCTTTGTGAGATCCTTATAAAGTTCTGGATACAGCAGTGCCATTTCTGGCTTCACATCCTGATCCAACACCAGAGAGAAGACTGGAAACATAGTATATATGGTTGCATACCTGTGGAAAGGAAAGCACAAACTAGCATTTTTGTATCATATCTATTGCGTTCAACTACTGTTTTAACGTGAATGAAGTGAAGCTGGCAGCACTGAGACAGCTTACCAATGCAGCTTCACAAATGTAACCTGGTCTTGGGATTCTGAGAGCTGCCATTTGTGAGAAGAGACTTTATATGTCAAAAAAAAAAGTCTTTTTTTCCCATGCATATATCACTCCAAATTTATTGTCTGTTACAATGTGCTTCTGCATTTTGATAACAACTTCAAAGACCCTGCATTTGAACTCATCAACAGAAGATGGCATGAAAACTAAAGAAAAAACAAGCGCTGCTTTTCTGACATCACAGTAAAGCAGGAGGATGAACCAAAGTCTTAGCAGCTAAGAAAGAGGCTTTGGGTTGCATGCACACATTAGTTGTGCACTCTCAGAAGGACAGCATAACTATTTACAAGGATTTTGGAGAAGTTTACAGTTTGCAGTGTTTGGTGAAAACAGACCTTGATTTGGCTACAATTTGAGTCATTACTGTTTAAATAAAGTAAAACAAGAAGTATGAAAAGAAGCTCTTAGGACATAAGGGGCAGAGAAAAAGGACAAACATGAATCTGTGCATGTATCTCAGCTGCATGATTCTGGGAGGTGTATCTCTAAAGAAGCTTTTGCAAAAGGATCAGTGTGCTCCTAATTCTACATACATGATTCAGAAAGAAAACTAATGTACCGGACTTATTTAATGGAAATTCCATAGTAGCTTCAGCTCCATTTTTTAACAAACAATTTGTTAATGGTCACTGAGGCTTGTCTTGCAAGTTGTATAACATCTGACACTGGTTTGTCACATTTCCTCTATTGTTTTTGCTCTGAAAGTCGAAAGTATTATATGATATCTTCTAAAGCTATGCAGTTTTCTGTCTTCAGGGAACTTTCCCACCTCATATAGTGGATATAACAGCACATCCAAACTAGTTTGAGGTTTTTCTTATAGGCTCATTCCAGGTCTTGTTAGCATACCAATGATAAATGTCTAAGAAATGGGGCAGACACCAACTATAGGATACTGTTTAAAAAGTCGTTTGGATGTAATTAGTAAAAGATATTGTAACTGCTGGTGTGAACTTACCCTACCATCAGGAAACCTTGGTACAAGGGAACCGATGCAAAATAGAAGACTGATGAAAACACAGCCTACAAAAAAAGAAAATAATTACATATTTAATAAAGTTCTATATACGAAACACTACAACAAGGAAAAAAGAATACTGCATAAGATTTTTTGACATTTCAAAGAGATGTAGTGATTGTAACTGTTCTGAAAGGAGTTTTAAATACCTGCATAGTTGAAATAATAAGGCCTCGGTGCATGACAAATTGACCAAGTGCTGCTGATCTTTTGTAACTGTTTCGACCATGTACCATCAGCAGCCTACCTATGTGTTTAAACTGTGTGATAGAAAAGTCAGCTGCTAGGGAGGCTTGTTTTCCTTCCTGGAAACAAAATAAAAATATTCAAAGTATAAAACCCTGTGTAGAAAATATGCTTCAAAATTCAAAATTCGAAATCATAATTCATTTTACAAATTACAAACTTTGCTGCCGTTGCTTCAGAAATCAATTCTGCCACATGACACAAAAGACAGTTTTTTTGGTGCGTGTCATAAAAACAATACAGTTTCTATATCAAGTATGTTTAATGGCTTAGCTTGCTTCTTTCAGATAAATTAATAGATTCACAGAGATAACTATGGCATTTTCTGCTTTTCTTTATGTATTTAAAAAGAAAAAACAGAGAACACAGAAGCGGAGAACTTACAGGTTCAAAGAACAAGCATTTTCTATCATCTCACAGTATGCTTTAATTCAAAATGTTCAATTTACTACCATCTAAGAAACACGGTACACTTGACAGTGAGACTAGTAACATTACCTTGCCTTCAATTCCAATCCCGCAGTCAGCTGCTTGGATCATGCTGACATCATTTCCTCCATCACCTGAAAAATGTCACTGCAATATTCAGCTCTTCAGAGGTTTTACTCTCTTGACCTTCACAATGTTTTAAAAACTTCCTACTATAGCTTTACATTCTCACAGATAACCTATGGATTAATGATTTCAGCCATCAAGACTTTTCCCTGAGGGGGAACAAAGAAAAACACACCTTTCTGATGGTATTTTCTTCTACAGTTACATAACTACTTCAAATACTTGGTGGCTGATAAAGACATCTTTTCAGTTTTGTTTGAATTCTTTCTCAAAGGTGCTATCTACTGTGTAAACTTATTACAGATCTACCTACTGCAAAGGAAGATAGTGTCAACTGTTACCTATTGCACATGTGCGTTTTCCAGTGTGATGCTGTAGCAGTTTGACAATATGGGCTTTTTGGGTGGGAGAACATCGGCAGCACACTACGGCGGGACACTGGCAAGCCAACTCTACAAATTCATGCTCATAATATTTCAGACAAACCTAAGGGAAAAAAAGTACATGGACGTTTATGTTGAAGGTGAAATGATACAGCATGTGCTCTAACACAAAAACACAGTGTAAAGATCTCTTCTATGGGGTTTTGCTCGCATGGTATCTTTCTGTAAGAGATACCTGAGAGAGCTGCTGTCTTCCAAATGCAACCTATTACTTTAAACTGACATTCATTTCATTTAGACAGATAACATGCTTTAGATTCAAACAAAGAAACAGTACCATGGCATGCTACCATGAGATTTGGTTCATCTCATTCTGTTACTGTACAGGAGACCGGAGGAATGTGAACATGTATCACTCTGTCACTACTCAGTGAAAAACATTAGTGACTCTTACAACATGGTCAAACACTGGAAAAAGTTTAAGAGCACGAAGCCACCAATATCCTTCATGAACACATTAATTTTATGTTCATGAAGTGTAAATACTATTTGATAGAAACCAAACTCTTACCTCCAGCGAGTCCCCAGATATCACCAAGGCACAGTCATGCTTCCTCCTAAAGGCATTTAGTTCTAAGTGAGCCTCTCCTCGAGTAGTAACCTTTAATAAAAACCACTTACTCAAAAGATTTTTTTTTTTAAGAGCAAACAAAATCTAAACAACAGCACACCTCCCTAAACAAATCAAGTGTTGAGAAGTCATACCTAAAAGGCTTCAATGTTAGGATTGGATACAATCAACAAATCAACAAATGTTTTATCTTAATGCAGTACCTGGGTGGCTGCAAGTTTCTAATCCTTATGGACTAAACAAGTAATCCTCAAACTAGGAAAATGCGTGTAGTCAACCTAACTGGCTCCTCACAGAAGTAGATCAGGTCTAAAATATCACTACGATTAAAATACTTTAACTTCAAGTTGGCCCGAGTCTTTCCATCTTGGTCAAACCAAACAAAGAAACCATTCCCAAGTCAGAAAAAAACAAAAGCAGACTTTTTAAACCAATAAAACATATTCTTAGAATAGTACAAAATGCTGATATTAGTAGTTCTTTCAGTTCAGATAAGTAGACAGAATTCCAAAGACACAGAAAAATGCTCGCTGAATGGTACAGTTTAGAATAATTACATTATAGACAATTTTTAATTAAATTTTCATGACTATTGTTCCAGAGAGGCCCAGCTGTCAAATATGCAAAACAAAACCTCAAACCAAATGGTTCAAAGCTTACTAAATGGATTTTGGAAAGTTTTGAGCTAGAACACAAAGCATAAAAATTTAAAGTAAAACCAGATTTTGAAGAGACGGTTTTTTTTTCCCTTTCTTTCTTTTACCTTTATTAAACTATTCGACTTCTTGTACAGCTACCATGTAGGACAAAGTTAGAAAATAGAATGAAAGCAACAAGATTATGCCTCTAATTTCGGATCTGTCAGCACTTTAACTAAAGATTTAAAATATGCAAGTCTTAATTATTACACAGAATCAGATGGAGTCCAAAGACTTCATCCTCTGAATGGGCTCCACCACACAAAATTTGGGTTACATTAAAATGCACGTAACTGGAAGCCACCCATACATAAATCTCAATCCAGATTTTTTTTATCCCCCTTTCCTACAGTGAAAGCTGCTATTCTGCCAACTGTTAGGAACTGTTAGGGTTGCACTGGTCCCTGTAATCTTTCTGCATTACAGAGATGACAGCACTTGGCACACACTGATGAGCTTCAGCTTTCACCTGACAAGAGGCACCTTTTCTTTGTAAATATTTCCAGAACAGTATATCAATTAATTTCATTACAAAATAAGCAGGCTGAGTAAAAAGAGCATGAAAATAATACATCTTTTTTGGGAAGCCAAATTAGTAAATAATTTATTCACTAATTTGTAGGTAAAATAAAAGTGTTAAAGTGCTTGGTATCTTCTTAAATTAATCCACTAGTTCTTTCTTTGCAACAAACATAGCCACAGAAATAATGTCGTATTAATCTGTTTTCTAACCAATTTAAAACTTCGTGTATTCTAAGTTAACACAGTTTTTATGCTGATCTTATTAGCCAAGGTAATGAAAATAAAAATCTGACTCAAACTAAATAGATTTTGTTCAGGAAGACTTAATTTGTAATGTTACAATGTGGAAAGGTCAACAAAAATTGATCTGAAGTTTTATCAGAAGCATTAATAATTTAATTGCAAATAGTGGTCTGCAGGGCCTAATTTGCCATTCTGATGCTTCATAAGAAACTACATTTACATGTAAATTATATTCATACAATTATTTCTTTAGGTGCAAGTGGTTCATTTGGAGCAAACACAGACATTATGTCTGATAGCACGGCATCAAAGTTTGGAAAAATCCTTATTTTTGTTTGAGTTCAGTGGAGTTGGCACCATGTAAATAGAGCAAAAACGTATAGAGACATTCAGCTTACTTTTCTAACAATTACCTTAAGCAGTGTGCTAATAAAATGCAATATTTATTAGAAAAATATTCATGGACAAAAACTTCCAACTTGCATTTTGATTCAAACTGTGGCATCACAGCTTAATTCAAAAGTAAGTCTGCTCAAGTCTACAGAGTGCTGTCAATGGAAATGTTACAACAAGCTAGAACCATATTCCTAGAATCCTTCCTATGTCTCAGCATCTTGCAAAGACTTTTCTCCATCCAAGGGGTGACTGACAATATCCACTGTTACAAGTGTGGAGTGTAAAACGCCTCTAAAACCCATCAACTTTGTAACAAGTGGCCAATACCAATCAAATGAAGCAATACTGGTATTAGCTGTATTTTGAAGAATCCAACAGTAAAGCTGGACCTATACTTACAGGTCTGAAAATGTGAATATCCTGAGTCCTAGACACTAAGTGAGAACTTTTTGCAATGCAAGTTGCTGTCTCCAGTTTATCGCCTGTTAACATCCATATCTGCAAAAATAATGTAAAAGTTAATTCTTTTGGATATTTTTGGTCTGTTGTCCATACCTACCTAACATGTCACCCCAACCTTCATTTGATACTGCATGAGATCAGACTACCATGGAATGTATACCAACGTATGAATTTTTAACTAAAATTAATGGGCAGTTTTTACTGCAGTAACTCACACAGAAAAGAAGTGTTTGTCTTTAAACAGCTCCCATTCTGTTCTGCCTCACACAAAGTTTATGTCTCAATTTACATGAAGACAGGGGGAAATCGTGGCAACCCACTGGAGTTGAACTGCAGAGAAAACACAAAAGCTTTTCCCTATCATCCCGAATGTGCTTAGGACTCAGCATATTTCTTACTCTGGATGAACCTGAATGTACACAAGTGTAAATAATGTATTGTAAAAAAACATTTAAAAAAAAAAGCCTTCAAAAAAAGCCCCCACAAAACCAAAAATACTCTCCCTCATGTTAGTATGTGATAATCTGTATGCCACCAGTTCACATTCATTACCTTTATTCCAGCATTTCTTAGCATCTCTAGGGTTGGTCTAACATCTGCTTGCAGTTGATCTTCTACTCCAGTGAGACAAAGCAATTCCATTTCCCGCTCCAAACTCTCTACAACAGCAGCAACTTTCAGGTTTCTATCATGTATGCTTAATTTTGCTTGGTTATATCGACTCTGCGCAAACACAAAACCACTTAGACTTGGTTGTAACTCATAAAAGAAAAATAAATAAACATTTTGTCTATCAACTGGTTATAAAAAAAGGTTGTATTTAAACACCTTTGTTAGGTGTTTAAGAACAAGGTTAAAAGTGAATTCTACACATTTCTTCTGATAAGTCATCTCTAGAGAACCCTCTGAAGAACCTTTTCTGAATCAGGCATCACAGCATCTGAACAGAAACTGCCCTGGTATTTGAGAACAAGTAGGTTGCTTAGTCATACTAACATACAGAATTAACATAGAATCACAGAATCATAGAATGGCCTGGGTTGCAAAGGAGCACAATGCTCACCCAGTTCCAACCCCTGCTGTGTGCAGGTCACCAACCAGCAGCCCAGGCTGCCCAGAGCCACATCCAGCCTGGCTTTGAATGCCTGCAGGGATGGGGCATCCACAGCCTCCTTGGGCAACCTGTGCCAGTGCCTCACCACCTATGGGGGAAAAACTTCCTCCTAAGATCCAACCTAAACCTCCCTTGTCTCAGTTAATGCTGAGACATGCTGGCTTCTGGGGAAATACAATCCAGTGAGGTAATCCATTTAAACAGTATCCTGCATCTAACTTCAGAACAGTCACTGATGGATCTATAATAGCGTGCTATACTTCAAATATTGGTATTTTTAATATGAGTCATCTTCTTTATTAATAGAATAAAAAAGAGGAATGTTCCCCTTGAAGTAACTAAATAAGGCAAAATACAAGAGGTATGCTAATAATATTGATCATTTTGTCTCTCCATACCTCAAAATCTTGATACTGTTCTTCAGTCAGTGACTTCTTGGCAACAACCAGAGTACGCAGCCCTTCTCGAGCCATATTACCACACTAAACAGATCAAAAGAATAATTATGCCAACATGTAGCTGTATGCTTGTATTTCACACTATATGACTGTATGCTAACAGAGTATATCTGTAGCACATAAGCTGATGCTTCTTCAGACTGCAGATGAGTTAGGAGAAACCACAAGAAGCACAAAAAATATTCACTTCAGTTTTCCCAATCTGGTATACTACTGGCAAGATATTTTTTCCTACCTTAAAGAAAAATTGTTGTAGGTGAAAGTTTAAAAATAAAACTGTTTTTAAAGCATGCAGCAGAGCTAAATTTTTGTTTCCACAGAAATGCACTTCTTGTCAGCAAAAGGCCTGAAGATTAAAATAGCCATGGAATAGCACGTCATAATGAAAAACAAGGCTGTCCACTGCTGAACACGTATTGATTTGACCTCATAAAGCTAAATAAATTAAACAAGTATTTTACGATTAATTGTGCATCATTATCGCCAAAAGTAATTTTTATGACATTTTGCTAGGTCTTCAGGGAGTTTAATTTATTCATGTCCCTGAATAAATCAAGCTGCCCTGCAGCAGATATTGATTCATATTGCCAATACCATTATGAACATACATGGTGTAATCATTGTATTAACATATTGTCTGTATGTAGGGTCAAAATAAGATGATTGCTGGTACCTACTACAATGACACAGTGAAAAACACTAATCAGTTTTGAAGTTTGGTCAGTAGCTATTTGATATTAAATTTAACTAATATGGTAAAAAGCTATTTCAGTGTACCTCCATCACATATCAAATTTTGTAATTCATAATCATACTTCACTGCAGAATTTATAAAAGGTTATTTCAGGATAAACAGACTTATGAGAAAATACTTCTCAGAAGTAATGTGGTTTCACGTGAAAGACCAGTCAATGAAAAACAAATTTGCTTGTGTTAAGTACGAATACGTTTTGCTATGACTACTAACTTTGTTCTTCTCTACGTATTATACAAGAATATGAAAGAACTCTAAACCATTAAAACTCATTCAAGGTGTGATTAACTGAACTTGAAAAGCCATTGCATTGGCTCAGGATCTCTTAAATTTATTCCAATAACATCTGATATTTTAGTTACATTTTTTAATATATATATATATACACATACATGTCAAAAATATATTTAACTCTGTTTCTTACCTCTTCTTCTAACCAATCATTGTACTGTACAATAGTGGACATTGCAACATCTGCGCCCTTCATGTAAAATGTAATTTCTCCTGAAGACTCATCCTAAAATTTCACAGAAGAAACAGAGAAAAAGATCTGTTTATACAAACAAAAAAATTACCTACAAACAACCTGTCTTCTGAAGCAGTCAACAGAATATCATTTATAAAAGGCAAAGTAACTTGCAAAGGGTTGGACAAGTTTTACTTCATGTTTACATTTCCAGTGACTTCTCTGATTCCACAGAGATACATGTTCCCTGCTTTCCTGTATTAGAAGACCAGTTCTAACTGAAGTCAAAGCATCAGGTTCTCAGCATCCATAACATTCCTGTTCTTCCTAAATTTTAAAATGTCATTGTGATGCCCACTCTAACTACTGAAATATTTGTTTCTTTTGTGGCATTCATTCTTAATTTAAAAACAGAAAGTTTGCTCTGTATCTTTCAAGTAACTGGAAATTAACAAATAATGGTGTTATGGGTGTTACAGATATTTTAATGATTAAACATTCATTACTTAGTCAAACAATTCACACTCAGGCAAGTATTACCTAAATCAGGAGTTTGTGGTGCGTGGTCTGTTGCTGAAATAACAGATTCACCTGATCTGCAGGCTTTTCATAGTAGCTCTGAACATGTCTCTAACACACTGTTAAACAGTGTTAAATAGTGCCAACTGCATTTAATGAAACACAGACATGCCAAGTTCTCTTCAGACCCGAGCACGCATACATGCTGTCTTTAGTATGTCTGCCCAATGCTAAGGGCATGCTTGGTTTGTCATCCATTGGCAAATATGGAATGGGATGAGTCTGATAGGTAGTTAACTAGCATGTAGCACTGATCTAAACACACAGCCATGTCTGACACTGTTCTGCCTGTCTGCTTTCAGACAGGGAGAGGCAGAAATACATAACGTGTGCATGTCTTGATATTAGCAGAGATTTAAACCTTCCTTTTCATGGTGTGGTGGCTTCCTTGCATTTGAGGTTTTAATAATCATTACTGTGTCCCCACCTGGACATTTAACAGACAACTAAGCATGCATCTGTTACACTCAGACCCAGCGGTGTTTCAGCTGTGTATGCATTCCTGAAAAAGCAGCAGCAGTGTTAGCAAAGAAAGATGAATAACTGCTGCAACAGACTCCCCACACTAGTTTACCCCTTGAACAGGCAACATATTTTGCATGAGAGCATCAAATTGAAAATTGAATTAAAAACGAAGGCTTAACAGTAAATTGCAGCATCAGAGCTTAAGCACAAAGTGTTGAAATTAACATGTTTCCATGTGAGATAAGAGTTCGTCCTTTACGAGGCTCTCTGCAAAATCCCGTCAGCCTAAATTTCACACAATTGCTTGTCTAGTCTAATGTTTGCTTTCCATTTGAAAATCCTGTGAAATGTGTTCCTCGAAGGATCAAGTTTCTACTAAGAAATATCAAAACAAACATGCAGTTAAAGCAGCTTTGGAGAAATGAGAACCAACCGCCTGCCACCAAATTACCCGAACTATGATTCCCATGCGCTTGCTCTCAGAAGTGAAGGGGAATATCTGCAGAATATAGTATGTCAGAATGTGTCCACCAGGGGTCTTCAGTTGCATGGAGGTCAAATCCCTGTTAACTAGAGTAAGACCAACACTCTCTGTCCACTGCACCAGAGCAACCTAAAGAGAAAAGAAAAAAGGACTTATAATCGACCTTTCACTTTTGAAGAATGTTATCTAAATTAAGCTAAAGCCAAAGAGCTGTTAGAGTAAAACAGAATAGAACTTTTGTACTAATGACAGCACTAAGTAGAAGATGTTGGGAGTATTTACATGCAAAACTATTTCAGATCTGTAACTGATGTATACTTGGACACTGCAATCTGTGATCAATAAAGAAAGGATCTTAAAAGTCTTTAGCTTACTTTATACGTTTGCATTATTTTATTACTTTTTATGTGAACAATAATAAAATTAAGTTGCTATGTAAAATGGGATAGAAGCCCAACTTACAATTCTGCATACCATGAACGTATTTGTAAAATTTCCTTCTACAAACCCAAAAAAGCTGCATTATAGGCAGGTCACACACACAAAAGTAGTGCCTCCTATTTATTTCTAGGGAAACTACAACAGATACAAAGAGCACAATAACACCATTTGATAGAGAAAAATTCTCAGCTTCAGAACAGCATTTTTCAACAAAGCCACCACCATCAGCGGTGCATTTTCACCATCCACGAACAAGAGCCTGCATGTTGTGCTTGTAAAAACCTGCACAAGTGGAGGTGACCCACTGTCAGCATCAGCACTGCAGAAACGCAGCACCCATCACCTCACCGTGCTCACATCCACTGCTTGGTCTCCAGAAGCATTGAGCAAGCATCAATGAATGTCAGTGGGTGCTATTTTGTTCCGCAAGGAGGAATTCAGTAATACACCTTTTCTTCATGTGCACTTCCATGTCAGACAACATTTTGTCAGGCTGCCCCACTGCTGCCATCTGTTGCACGGTAAGAAAATGGAATGGACAATTGGCAGTAAAGTGCAGCCCTGGTATAATGATCACTACTAGCTACCATTACATGATATCTTAAATGCACACCTCAGTGATCCCGAATTTATTTGTTTATTTATTACATTTTGGTGCTGTTGAGCACACAGCATCTAGCTTCTACTTCCTTCTGTGCTATTTTTTAAATTAACGCATCAGATACTTCTCACCCATTCGAAAGGAAATTGCTTTGGGCAGCTTAACAAATAAATAAGTAATATTCAATTCTATTTTCATTTTCCTAAGTGTTAATCATAATTAGAAAACAGGTTTTTAAAGGAATAAAAAGGTAATTATAATGAAGATTCACATTCATTTGACTGAACCTGCTTCTGCTGTTAGTCTCAAGCACAGTGATAAAAGACAGGCAAGTAGTAAAATACTCAGGTAAGTTCAAAAGACATGATGACTAGTGCCCAGTAAGAATTTCATCCGAACTGAGTCAATAATCACCGTGTAGCTTCTAATGAAAATTTAAAATAGGGAAAAATAAGTTATACAAACCCCCAAGAAATCCCAATGGTGCTGTCTGTGTAGGCATCAACAAACACAAATATGCTGTGATGCAGTTAAAGAAGGGGAAAAGAACACACTTTAAATAGCACCATTTTTAAAGCCCCAAATCACAGGAAGCCTTTTTAGAGTTTTTTTCCTCTTCAATAAGAGTACCATATAAGCTGTAAATGATCCAATACCCTCAAGGTTAATTTTCAATTTTCACAGTGAAAGGTTACTATTACATTCTGACCTGTAAATTGCATCTTTCTCCTAATACCCTATCATCTCATTTGTGTCCCTTTACAGCTAGGACTTAGATGTTCTATGTTTGGTGACTCACATCTGTTTAATATTTCACTTATGCTTGGCTTCACCAACCATTTGAACTGGCATTTTGCAGCACAGTCATTTTCGATTCTTATACCTGGCCTAGTGAACATATTTGTTCTCTTTTAAATTGATCAGTGCAAGTACCATAGCAGAAATGGCCAGTAATTATCAAACTCAAACAACTGTCTAAAAAGTAACTGCATAAACTTGAGAGCAATGCATTAAATTTAACTCCTGACATTCAGAATTCACAGTTAGACCTTAACAGTACCCCAAACGACACAGTCAAGTCATACCATTAAATATCTGCAGATTTTACAATATGCAAATATTGAATAGATTTATTCCACAGAAGGCATGAAAATCCAAATTACTGATCTGCACAGATATGTATATACAATGGATCACTCTTTGTACCGAGTTCAGAAAAAGGATTCTCAGATAACACTCTTCTTGCGTTTTCCTCTCTACATGTATATTCCATTCTCATTCTACAAGTTTCTGAAAACTTAGATTAAAATGGTCTTGCAGTTCAGCATGCAAACATCAAGAACCCTGAGAATGGCATGCAAACACAGCAGCTGGAGCTTCTACAGCTCCTGACATATAAGATGCAGTCAGATAAAGCAACCAAAGGATGAGTAAAAAAAAACTTAGCTTGAGATGCCACCATTTTGCTTTGATAAAATACAAAACATCAACTCTGATTACAAATATTTGCTGATAACCATTCGTTTCTTAGTATGTGCAGATAAATGGATCAGAACTCCTGAGTCCCGCTTACGGACTTGTGGCCTGTGCCTCAGCTCATTAACCATGTTGGGTTCCCAGGAGGGGAAATACGAGGAGTCAGAGAACTTCTATCATCTCTAACTTGTGATTTCCTCCTTGGTAGACCCCAGCAGGCAGGAACAGTTACCCACCTCTGATGTGACAGGCTCCAAGTAACGCTTCCACATTAGGAAAGAAGGTAGCAAATATTTGCATAAAGATCTGACAAAAATACTGAGAAACATCTTGTTCAGCATTTCTTACCTCAAATCTGCCTGATCCTATGCCCATTGATGGGGTCCAGTAGCCCCTGTAGGCTGTCTCTCTCCGTTAGAAGCCACCAGACCTTAACAGCTGCCTCAGTTCACAACCCCAAATACTAAACTTTTCAACTGTCATAGCACAGATTGCCAAAATAAAATTCAGTGTCTTCCTAAGGAAACTCTCTCAATTAGTGATCAAAGCAGTATCCCTAACCTGTTTCATTTTACTCCTATCCCAGTAGGTAGAAGTAGCTTCTCTGAGTATGACCCTGTGTTCAGCTCAGTTCTCTGAGGCACATCAGAGACAAAGGGAGACTTCAGCAGCACTCTTGTTACAGACCTTGTTGGCAGCTCTGCGTGTTAATTCAATGGCTTGGGGACAATCATCCCATTTGCTTAGAAATGTTCCTCTACTGAACTAAAAGAATTCGGTTTATAAACATATTAGGCAGTTTCTAGAAAGTTATATAAAATACACAAGACTTTTAAATGACAAGGATGCAGTTACCTATCCCATCAGTGACGAAACGCAATCACCTAATAAAGGAAAATGAATAGTTAGGGACTTCATAGGCCCCATATGGAGCACAAAACAAAAATCTTTATTCCTGAAGGCTCAGGACATTCTATTTAATTAGACCATTAGTCTAACCTAAAACAAATACTAATCAACAATTTTAAACAAGAAAACACTTCAGAAAACATGAGACCCAAGAGGTCACTAAAACTTTGGCAACTTTAGTTTCATCATAAGCCAATTCCAGATGATCATTTTTTAACCGATTCAAATGAAGTCATACCTTTATTTTCAACTTAGAGGACGAAAGAGAGAAATACCTCCCTAACAGATGACAAAGAACTTCTCTCTCAAGCGGTGTTGAATAGCTTTATGCCATTCAATCAACAGGTGCAAGAGTGCCCCTTATTCAGCTCAGCTCCAAGACCCTCTTTGAATTCTCCTCACCTTTCCCCAAGAGGGTGAACGGCTTGCACCTCAGAAGACTTTCATTCCCACTCAGGTTAACATCTGCCCCATCTTCCTCTGGATTAGTAGGAAATACCAGGTATTGCCCAAGTGTCTTACTGCCTTTTGTTTATGGCAATTGCAGTTGAGTCCTTTTGCTCTGTGTGAAAGATAACCACTTCTTGTTACTTGTCATCTTGGGACGCTGATGGCAGGAAGAAGTCCCAGGTGATGTATAACTGATACAGTCACTCAGATAAGGAAACGTTACTAAATCCTGAAGGCCTTTACTTAATAGTTCCATCCTAAAAGGTTGTTACTGCTAGGCCTAAGACCAAAAGACGTCCTAGACTGTTCTTGCTTGCTTTAGGTACTACGTCAGTCAGGACTGGAAGGTGGATGGTTGGACTGGATGATCTTGTCCAACCTTGGTGATTCTGTGATACCTGAGTACGCCTTTCTTCATAGGAACAAGCTTACTATTAAAGGTTGTGGTAAAGGAACAATAAGAAGGCTTCACAGAGATTCCCCCTGGCTTTCACTTGGCTACATCCAGTGCTGCAAAAGTCATTTTGCAGCAATGTTGCAACTGTGTTCATACTTGGCTGTCTATTCTGCTGTGGATTTTGGACCTAGCTCATAGCTCTTCTCACAACTATCAGACTGTGGCTGATGCTGGCTATTGCTTTGGGAGCTGGTCCTGACTTTATGATGGTTTCCTAGCTTGAATTCAGATAGGTCTTACCACCATGGACACGCAGAGCAATGCAGACACTCAGCTGTCTCTGCCATCATGTGCTTGCTCTGCTCACTGTGCTTGGATATTGTGGGACTGCAAAACTCAGCACTGAGGACCCTGGCAGTGCTGTCAGTTTTTGGCTTCCCTTTTCTTGCAGAGAAGCTCACCGCTGCTGCACTCTAGCAGAAATACTAACAAAACTCAGTATTTACAGAGTTTTGCTGAGGCAATTTATGATCAACAAGTTGCCACCTCCAATATGCAATATTCACTTTTAATGTAATATGTTTTAGTGAAAGATCCACCACCTTGCAGCCAGTGTTAGTTGTTTATCTCCACCTCATTCAGCAGTTTCAGAGTCCCCCTGATTTGTACCAACATTGCTTTTGTGGAGCCATGGTATGAACCTGACCACTTAGGTGAAAAATGTGAATAAAACCTTTAAAGACTTTGACATAAGTGAGCAAGCAGTTTGTAGGATGAGTGAAGAACTGTGGGTGGAAATTTAAGTTGGTTTCATTGCTTAAAAGAATTCTCATGTAGGCAGCCTTCCTTACAGAGTAAATTAAGGGCACGTTCATTTTAGACAATAGGATCTGCTTTCAGAATCAGTCTGCCACATAAGGGATACACAGGCAATATAATAACAATAACGTAGCAATTAAAGTTAAGACTATTGGTATGATAACACAGAAGTAGCTGGGAGCTTTGTTTCTCCACCACTTGAACGATCCCAACAGTTGCTTTCAGGGTTGCTCAACAATATGTTGCCAATGAGCATTGCTTTGTTTGTATTTATGAACAATGATTTGGTAGTAAAAATTCACAGTCTTTTCATCAAGAGAGTTCAAAATTAAAATAAAATTATTAACTTAAAATACAGCTTGATCATGTGAAAAAAACTGCGGATCGATATTCAAGACAAGCTATGGAGTAGTTATTCTTTGTAGGTCTCGAAGGTCAGGAAAGTGATGGTTTTATGCTACTGAGTGATTTGCTTTTCACAATACATTGACAAAACAACACAATTAGTCTTGCTTCAATAAGCACACACAATAAAATGAATTAAACAGTACAACATGTCTCATACATTACAGCTTCAATTTTGTAAACACAAAAGCTGCTTCACTAAGGGCGTATCATTTCCCTGTCTGTTTTTAAATGATTGCCTACGTATCATTGTAATTAATTTTAGAAGCTTTCTTGACTTTGGACAGAAATGTTGGAACTAAATAACTGACCACACTTGAAGGTAGTATTTAAATATTCAAAACGCTGGATTGAAAATGCTTGAAAATATATTGGTGCAGGACGAACTATAACCAATAAATAGCTGGTTTATGAGAGCAAGCAGTCATTAAAAATTGTGGCTGATCAATCTTTTCTGACCAAAGGGGAGCAAAGGTCTTCAAAGGCTCCTGTTCATAGCATGCCCCTGAATTGCTTTGGTCTGTGACCTTCGAACTCCACTGCTTTACCTACTTGGATTATATCCTTTTATGATTGTTCATTACATTAGGGTAGCTGGTCTTCTACAGATGAGCTGAACCCACATCTAGGATTGTTGAGTAAGTTCTTTTTTTTATTTTTATTTTTTTTTAGCAAGTTCTAAGTGAATATTTATTGTTTGCTAGGCTACAGCTGTAGAGGACAAATGACAGACAAATGAAAGTTTCCACTCTTTCAGAGAAAATGAAATATTGATCACTTATCATAAGAAACAAAGAGCCTGGCATAAGTAGGGTTCACATTATGAATACAAAATCAGTTACTTATCTCAGGTTGCTCTAGCAAAAGAGAAATACATCTTTTATGATGAATGTACCTACTTCTAAATGTGCATACTTTCCTTCAGTTATCTTTTATCTCTATATGGATGCAAACATACGTAGATGCAAAGAATTTCAAATGAATTCAAGATGTTTCATTAACTATATTATGTGTCTATACAATGCTGAAGTGCTTCTTATACTTTTCTACATGGAAGAATAGTTTATACTTACACATTATTCTCTGGTCTTTATATGCTACCATGATAACATGCAATATTATATAAACAAGAGACAATTGTGCAGATAACATCTTTCAAAAGACTGCAATCAAGCCAGTTCCATTAACAAAAAATTGGAGAACAGAGTTGTAACGTTGAGGAAGTACAATGCATAAAACTGGTTAAGTCTATTAAATGATAATGTTGCTTATTAACCAAATATGTTGTGATAGGTCAGTGATGAGGTTAAACAGAAAACATCAATTGAACCATTTCCCTAAATAAAGCTCCAGGGTGCAATATTCAAAGCACTTTATTCAATAAAAAATGCTTTTAAAATGGTACTTTGGTGATTGGGAAACATTGGCATCATCCGTCAACCTAACTGCAGTAAAGTTCAATAAGCTAAATAATGAACCATTTGCATTATTTTCCTTAGGCTCCAGTGATTTGCAAACACTGCGTCAATAGAACTCTTTAAAAAATTATGATAAAGACCTGCTAGTCTTTCAACTCTTAGTCTTTCTGCTGTCAGGATGCAATTTTTATGCTATTTAAATGCTTTTTGTAGCTTCATTGTTTAATATGACTCCACTTACTATCAATTTCTAATTGTATTAAACTACAGTTGTTCAATATAATTTTAGCAGTTTCTAACATTACATTAGAAAAACACAGGAAATGTAATACTGTCAGTTCTAAACCATGTTCCCAATTTATCATTTAAATTGCATGTAGCTTGAATTTGTGAGTTGAGATGATAAAAAATCATTGTTGAAAATACCTGTGCATTCTCTTAAAACACAAATGGTTTCTTTGTTGGTGTCTTTCTTCCCCGCTTTGCTTTTTACCCTGATTTCTCTATCTGTCATCTAAACACTCTATCAAATTTTCTTTCCTTTTCTTTTTCCAAGGTCAAATTCTCTACTGTCTTCCTAGGGCAGCACCTGCATAATTTTCCAGTCTTGCAGATGTTTTCTTTAGCAAACGTAGGAGGAGAATTGATATTTGAGGTAATATTTTCAGATACCAAACAACTGAATGAATACACAGAAGCACAGATGTAGAGAAAAGCAAGTGCGTGAAAAAACCTAAATCTCTCTCAATTGCACATCTCTTCATCTGCTTTAGGAATATATCACTGGCTATTAAAGCAGTTTATTTACTCTTTAGCTGTCATCACATCCTGCATTATATTTACCTTGCAAGCTCATTACACTAACGCATTTAGCAACTATGATTACGTAAGTACACATATGAAAATTTGTACATGGTCACAAATATAAGGAAAACATCACACAACTACAGCAACAGATTATATTGTCAATACACCTCTGGAGTGAACAAATGCTCTTGCAACATTCCCAAGTCAAAATGCGGATCAACTGGTATAATACAGCACCACAGTTGGCATCGTGGAGTTTAGATTTGAGCCAGAGAGCAGTGTCTCAGGTCCCACCTCCAGTTTATCTTTAAAGTGGATGCCCTAACTGCCACTTTTGAGATCACTGAGAACCAGTCCCTTCTCTATAATTTGTAATTCCATGACACTGAGCTGTGTTTGTAGCATCTGACATACATGCAATTCCAGCTTGTTCTGCATAAAGACAGACTTCATCTTACGGCTTGCATTACTGAAAGTGCTCATTATAAACTTGTGACTTTTATCAAGTAGTTTGCATTTTGAATGGATAATATCTTGATACTATTATGTATGGTGATATGGTTGATAAGCTAGCCATGCAAACAAGTTGTACACCAAGAGGAAGAGCCCAAGATGACATTTATGGAAGAAATACTACCTTGTACTACATCAACTTGTAAAGTCAGAAGAACACACAAGCTTTCATGTACACACCAGCTTCTTCACATCTTACAAAAAACTTGTTTGGATTATGAATAAGTTACTATGACTACATCACTAACAGTATATTCAACCACCAGGCACAGCTAGAATTTCTTTAGAACAATGCCACTTCAATCTGTACACTCTCAGAGGCAAAGTGAACTCTGAGTACTCTACTTCCAAGGGTACACACATTTTTTGTGAGTGGACTATAATAATTTTTATGCTTACGTTGCAGTATCTTGAAACTCGAGCTTTGCTGCTCTCTCATAACATCTTTAGGGATTAAGTCTAAGGCAACCACCATTTCTGATTCTGAAACAGGACTTTTCAGGACAGTAACTTCGACTGAATTAAAGCAGTGGGATGTTGAAAACTTGGATTTCAATGGAGGTACAATGCATGTTTTACTGAAAGAGGGTTTTAAATTTGTTTTAAACATCATGAAATTTTGACTGAACCCAGAAAATTATGCAGCTGCTTAGGGTGAAGCTCAAGAAGTTTTCAACAAGGATATTTGAGGTTCAGGCTTTCTTCCAGTTGTGAACATTTATAATTAACTAATTGGTAGTGTCACAAGCTAATGTACTTGGTTGTCCATCATTTAAAGCTGATTTTCATATTCCCCCTTGTATATTTGTGCTATAATCTATGCATGGATTAATGTTTTGAGAATAAACCTAATAACTTTAATTACAATGCAGTATTGATTGCTCTTAAATCACTGATTTCAGAGAAGCCTTAGTCAAATAACTGAAAAAACCTTAATGCAACTCTAGATCTACCCTACAACAAGAAAAGAAATAAAACCAGACCACTGTTAGGTTCAAAGAAACACTTCACCCAAAACACTTGTATAAGAGCTGTTCTGAAAGTAATGCCTCCTGTTTTATTATATTGTCCCATGATGTCAGAGGCAGACACTGGTGGTATGACAGTAGAGGCTGAACCTTCACGTTAGTACTCTGTTACATTCTGTTGCCACGCCACAAATGGAAGCAGAGGGTCTGACAAAATAGCATCTGTCATGGAAATGCGTATGAAGAAAAGATGTGCCATTTAATTCTTCCACGTGGGAAAAACTGCATCCAAGGGTTCATTCATCAATGCTTGCTGAGCTTTCATGGAGACCAAACAGTGGATGTTGGTGAGGCAGTGGGTAGCGTGCTTCAGGAGTGGTGACAGCAACATGAAAGACAAACTACGTTCTGGATGGCCACGCACAGCTGTCACCACAGAATGCAGAGTGTCTTGATCAGCTCATCTGCATGAATCGGCTAGTGGTGGTGGCTATGTTGAAAAACAGTGTTTTGCAGTTGAAAATTTCCCCTATCGCTGTAGTTTCCACAGAAAGAAATAGGAGGCATTATTTTCAGAGCAAGCTGCATATCTCACAGTTCCATTCTCTTTAACTTAGTTAACCCTCTTGAGGGGGAGAAGCTTATTTTTGCTCTTGCATACTAACCTCATCAGGGCTGGAAGCCTGGTAAGCTCGATTTTCATCACTGAAGTCCTGATCCACCTCTGCATATTCTGTTTCCCCAGACACACCGGCACGAGATTCATACACGGGGGTGACGTTGTGGCACAGAGCAATGGCCTTCACTGCTTCGTGTATGCGGCTGCTGACGCTCTTGCGGACTTTGGGTGCAGAAGACTGAGGTTTCCTGGACGGTGTTGAACTTGTACTGTTTCCACTGTTCTGAGAGTGAACCTTTAAGACCCAACACAACGAACAGTAAAACAGAGTTCAAAAATTGGAACAGAAAATAAATACCGATATATACTTGTTTTCTCCTTTTTTACAAAGGGTGAGAAACTGTCAGGAAGCAGCCATTTATTTCATAAAACTCATTCTTTTCTTGACATATAAAAACCCTCATCTGCTTTCTCTAGAACTAATAAGTGACTGGAAGTTCATCATCTCACCTTTACATATAAATTTCAGTAACAGAGGTTTCAAGCAGCAGATAACAGAGAAATATGAAGTTAGAACAAGTACCCAATGGAAAAGGTGAATAGACTGACATGGACTTCACATCCCATGCATTATTTTTAAAGAAGTACTAAAGTCAGCAACCAACTAATGAGTTTAGAAATACCAGAACGAAAGGTTCTGCAAGGGAGGAATTTTTTAAAATTTATTTATTTTTCCTTCTTTATCTTGTCACCTATGTACATCCTGAGATTGGAAACCCAAATCCCACAACCTAACATCGAAAAAATCCTCCTTCTTTAAATCTTCAATGAAATCTTCGGTATTTTAAAGAGCCCTACATTACTATGGAACAACAGACCAAAAGCAAGTATCATTAAGTATAACAATTTGGACTACTTAAAAAATGTTGCTGATTTAATTCAGGATCTATTTAATTTCTACGCTACTTGTAAGCCAATGCAGTTAGTAGAGTAGCTGCTTCTGCTGCAGGTTGGAATTTTTTTGTTGTTCTTAGCAGAGTGTAATCATTTAATAAAAAGATGTTGCTAAACAATAGTCTGACAAATACCTAAGGATATTATTGCTGGAAAGCTGCCAAACTAGCACCACTTTAAACTGTCCTTCAGAAATGGTGCAGCCCGTGACTGTTTGTCTTTTAAGATAGTATTGTATGATTCACTGAAAGTAACTGGCTTTGTTTCTGAAATCAGCATATGAAATATATCTATCTGTAATAGTGGAAAAGTCTTCTGTTCACTCTGGGGTAACTCAGAAAACCTCTTCAGAAACCATGTGGTTTTTTCCTCCTGACTGCTGTCTGCTGAACCGTGAACATTCTGCCCATCAAATTACAGTGCTGTCTAATAAAGGGTTTAACTTTCTGCTCATCTGGCACTGCTTTTCAGCTACTGCTTTAAACCTCTGCATTTGCATTCTGCTAACGCTGATGCCATTACAGCCTCAAATAAATTAAGCTGATTTACTCCTTCTGAATTATGTTATGTTTATTGATGCTTGTATAATTTAATTTCACACAAATTCCATTAAAGATTATGCCCTCTATCACAAAATGCTTCCAGTGGGGAAATATAATCAGGTTATAATAGATTTGTGTGTTACATTAAGATGACAATAGTCTAGTAGGTCCACTGTAATAATAAAACAGAACACAAACAAGGGATAAAATCAATGTCACACAAGAATTGCTGCCTGGCTAACTGGCAGCTTCTATTACCACAGATTAAATAAAAACCTCACCATGGTTTTGAGGTTGAAGCAATTGTTTAATAGTTGCTGGTTTTGTTAAAGAAACTCCTTCATTTTTCTGTTTTAAATAGTTGCTAGCAATGCACGTAATTAAAGCATTATTTAGATGTTGAGTAGTGTTACATAAAGCTGGAAAAATGAAAAGAAAAAGTTCCAAGAAAGTTCTTTTCATCATTCAAAAGCAAACCTAGATTTGGGAAATTCTTGCCAACAATTGCTGAGGGGAAAAAAGCTTCCTTTGCTTTTTGCTTCCTTTAAAAATTCCAATGCCAAATCTGCTACAGTAATTAAATCTTAATTAAGCATGGGTACCACTCATTAAATTTTACAACGAACTAGTAAAACCTTTAAGCAAATAGGAATTGCAAAAAAAAAAAAGCAATTCTTTTTGGATGGAATATTTAACATTAAAAACTGAGAAGAGTGTTAATGAATATGCATCCTCTAGAAGACGACTGGCACTCTGTCTTCAGACTCAGTCCTATGTGTGCGTGCTGAAGCTTATCAGTTGATAAGATTGATACAGTGAATACTCAAACAATCTACCGTAAGAAAATGATGGTCAGATGATTTTTATAATCACTGTTAGGTAGTGATTACTTTCAGTAGCCCATCCTGAACAAAATCTGGGTTACCCATCTTTGTATCTCAGATTCAGGCTTATTGCTGCCTCTCAGTGACTATTTATGGCTGTATAAGAATTAAGCTGAAATGAACTCCTTTTTCTTGGATAAATCTAAGAACTGGATCTCTTGGTTTGTTTAGATGGGAAGTAGAGAAATTCAAGTTACTGAAGACTAAAACCAAATATTCATTGTTTTGTCTTTGCTTTCCTTTCTGCTTCTTTTTCCCAAAAGCCACACAGTACTGAGACCAGATTGGTGTCAAACTTTCAAAAAACACTAAAAACAAGCAAACAACAACAAAAAAAACCCCACAAACAAATGAGAAGGAAACTATAACTCAAAAACACCACACAATAAAGATTTTAACTAGCTGTTCATTCTCCAGTACTTTAACACGACAAAGTGAGCACACAGATAAGGAGGTCAGTCTACAAACTTAATTGGGTCAGTCAGTCATGTCGTTTATCCTGGAATCAAGTCCTTAGAAAGGTTTGCAGAAGGCCAGATACATGTACATGGGAGATGCAAGTGATATTGGCAGAATTCAAACATCCTCCTCCATCCCACAGCTCACCCACAAATAGACTAGGAGTCTCAAATCTCTTCCCAGACCAGATTCCTTCATATACTGAAGGAACACCACTGAACACTTGCATCTCAACAAGTAGAGAGTTCTCAATTTTCTCTCTCATTTTACACTGTTTTCAATCTTATCTTTAAACAAATGTTTTTAAAACATTCAAAATATGCTTTTAGGAAAAATGTTTTATGTTGATGTCTATTTTTTACTTTTTTTGTTATGCAAATTAATGTGGTTTTCACTGTCAATTCCTGATGAATATATCTTCAAAGATGTAATTACTGTTTGCTGTGTTCTGGGTATTTACTCGTAATTTGCAGTCTCAATAATGAACAGCTTATTCTGAGATGATTTGGCAGAAGACAAAGTACACTGCACAGCCGAGTTAACACAGAGTCCTTCCACTGAGGACTAGAAAAGTAAAGTCCTCTATGCTGGGAGGAACTTCAGAATCAAGAGAGAACAACATACATCTTCCCCTTTCATCATATCTGTTAAGAGATAGCTACAAATGGAAGAGCATCCCTAGCATCTCAAATTTCTTGACATGATCAGTGCTTCGATGCTGTACAAAAATCTCAATATTAAATCTAAGAAATTATAAATGAGATACCTGTGAGTAGGAGTTTATAATATGACTCTGAATTTCATCCATTGTATCTGTTCCATAGGACACGGTGCCAAGGTGGAGGCGCTTAAATATCATTTCATTCTGTGTGAGTGTTCCTGTAATAAAGAAGAAGCGGTTTACAAAGCAGCAAAAAAAGATACCTACAAGGCTAGAAGAAAAAAACAAACTTTTTTTTTTTAAAGAGCAAATCGTGAGTTAGCATCAGTTTCACTAATAAAAATGTCTGTGAAGAAAGATCAGTGTTAGTCGTATGAAACTGAAGAAATCCCTGGTTCAGTCTTCAAGCTGATTCTGCCAACAGAACTAAACATAGAAACAGATGAAAATATTTTCCCCAGTAAAAACAGAGAAAATGCAGTGCATGAATAGTGACTCTCAAGCACCAATGCAATTTTATACCATCAGAAATACTAAAGGGAAAAAAAACTAAAAGACGTACAAAAATCCAGCACCTTACGTACAAAATCAGATATGATGGCAAACAGGCATGCTCAGTGTTATCCAGAGCAAGTCATTAAAAACTAACACCACTTCCAAATTTGACTTATTTGCTTCCAAGCAGAACAGGCCAGAATGGATGAAATCAGTGTTTTCAGAACTCAATCCCCATTTGTGAGAAAGTACACAAGTCACAGCTTGGCACTTTGCATCTACCTCAGCCAACACATCACACTGCTGCACTTGGAAAAGCTCTAACCGAGGACTGGAGGTTCAGACTTCCTTGATGAAGCCCGTGAGGCAAAAAGGTCACTGTTGTCTGGCTTCCCATGGGATGCTTAAGGAAGATAATTCTGATAATGATCCTTCTTAAAAATTTGGTCTATCGGTACTCAAAGAAAGTGAAATTAATTAGCACAAAGCTTTGGGTTCTCCAAAAAAATAAAGATGACTACATCCTAACGATAAAAACAAACATACACATGATGCTAGAGTGCCATACTTGAAGCTTCTACAATATTTTTAACAGAGAGCATATGACAGTTACCTACAAATAAGAACTGCAGACTTGTCTTCATCACAGTTTGCCTAAAGACATAAGACACAGGAATAGAAAAGGCAAAAAGCACAATTTATGCTATAATTACTATATGGAAAAAAAAACAAATAAACAGTTTGGTCAGTTAGCATCCAGTTTATGCATCTAACAGGGCTAGAATCATTAGTGATATTCAGAGATTCAACGAGGCTGTAAAAGTCGTGTCTTTTTCAGCTACACTTGATCTGTCTGCCACTCCTGCTTTCTGGTAATACCTGTGTGGGTACCTTCATCCCATTTTTGCATCAACAGGCTGCAGTATCAGAACACGTCTTACCGTATTACAATACTAGCATGAGGTTATCATTCCAAATACATTCCCTTTTCCGCCCTTATCATCAAGAACTGATACTTCACATTCACTTTTCCTTACACGTTGTTCAGAATTTTTTACTATTGTCATGTCATTTGAATTCTGAAAAATGTTTAAAATAAGGTTTATCTGAAACGCACGCCTTCTACACAAAACATGTAGCACCATAAAAATGCACTTGATAAGTAGAATATTCCCAGGTCTGGAAAGCAGCCCACGAAGACAAGGTTCTTCATCTCCAGAATTAGCAAGTCAGAAGCTTTAGGTTACTTCTGTACAAGGGATAAGACTATTTTGCATTTATAGTAATCATGCAAAACCATGAGGAATTACTTTTTTGCTTTCACAAGTTCTATTTTTACTCAAAGAACTTCTGTTACTTTTGATGATATTTGTGATGTAACTGTGGACTAAAAAAAATAGAACAAAATAAAACAGTCTGCAGTTTGACGTGGACGTTTCCCCTTGCAAACATGAGGAACTAAAATCTCAATTTAGGACAAAAAAAATCCATAACCAAAACAAAAAGCCCAAATATTCACTTTGTTCAATAACGTTATTTGGAAATTTCTTGCAATAAAATTTGCATAACATTTGTTACTTTCCAGGAAGGCTAAGATATTCTCACTGCCCTTAGCTTTGCCAAGCCTTTGAATTAAAATAAACGCTCCCCAGGGGCCGTGAAACTAAATGCCACTCAAAAGCTGAGACAGCAGCCAAACCTGTTTCCCACTCGTTCTGTAACTGCTGCTCGGGAAAACTGAGAGGAAACAAAATTGGCCCTATGATTATTATATGGAGAGATCATTTCTTCTGACATCACTAGATCAGTTCAACTCCAAATCACGCCTAGGGAGAGAACCGTAGATAGATGGAAGAATTTGTGTAATTCCCTCCCACCTCAGCAAGCAGAGGAGAAAAGCTTTTGAGCTGAAAAGCAGGGATTTTTCTATCTTAAAAGAACTGCGAACCAATGGTGGAGGTTCAGGAAAAATAGATGAGAGTCAACAGCACATAAAGACATAAGCTTAAACACTAGCAACCCTGATTTAAGTTTTGAATCTTATACATTACTTAAGGTCGGCATCCTTCCATTTTAGCAGCTACAGTGACAGGAAACATCTATGGCAGACAAAAGCAAGCTGCAAAAATATCCATACCTGCTATTCACAATTCTAACCAGCAGAATAAAAACCACAGAAACAATTACTTTTTGCTCATGGATTTTCAAGACTAGCCTTAGGCTTTCAGCAATAGCCACAACAGATCTGAGGCTTTGTTAGACAAACGTAGGTAGCAGCACCTCTGAATGCATAAATCCCCCAGATTAAAAATAAAAATATTCCACTAATCAAAATGGAAGTCTAAAGTCTTCCTGTGCATGAAAATTAAGGCTTCGTTTCTACTTCATTCTCCTAATGAACAGAACACCAGAAAGGACAAAAATATTCCCACTTACACAAACAAAATATTTCGTAATGCCAATCAGACGTTACTACTTCAGAAGCTCTTAAATTTTAGTCTTCTGGAACGAAACTAATAAGCCGTTCCTTGACAAAACAACACAACTTCTACTTTATCCACTAATATGGAAGCCCTTCAATCATCTAGAAGTAGATTTTCTTATGTAGCCCAACGTAGGAATGAAAAAGGACACCAAAAGAAGCCATCTTTCTAGTCTGCTCAAGGCGATAAAAGCACTTATGAACAATATGAGAGCTTTCCATTTTTAATAATGCTTTTTTATCACCTACTTATTGACACCATGCTTTCAGGATGCTGCTAATACAAAGAGTTATCAGATAAACAAAGCTGTTTTAGAAAAGCTTCCAGAAATTATGCTAGTTATTGTACGACCTACTACTAATACAACAGGTTAGCAAACTTTGCTCTGGAATGCTGTGAGTTATTTCACCAGGAAAATACCCTGACAAAAAGTTAGCATACAATTGCTGAAGAAAAAATTAGCACGTTCTTTAATGAAACCAACAGCATTTATTTATTTATTTATTTATTTATTAGTCTAAAATTGTATCATTAAACACAGAGTAAAGCAGGCAAAGAGGAAATTAATTTCTAAGGAAAAAGTCCTGAAGGCATCATTCCCTGAGTGGCAACAGATGTGATTCACAACAGAGCAGTAGAGTATTTTTTTTTGGAGAAGTAAATGCAGATCTTTCTGAACCTACATTGCTAGATGGTAATTGAGACTAATACCAACAGTCTAAAAAGGACAAAATAAAAGAGCAGGAGGATATGTACAACAGAAGAATTAATAACTTTATCAGAAATTGAGAAAGTGAAGAATCTGCCACAGAATAGGTTCTCTACTTCAACCACTTGCTTAAGCAGATAAAATGTCAGTGTAAATTTGAACACTTCTTTAGAAACTCTAAGATAAATCCAGTTCATGACTTTTAATGAAGAAATTGTTGGCAACAATCCGGAGACAAATATGCCTTCTATAAAACCTGGAAAACATATGGTAAGAATACAGAAAGAAAATGAAAGAACTCATCTTAAAAACATCCGCAGAGTATGTCTGCTCACTCAGCTGCTCCACTTGTGAACAGGCCACAAACACAACAACCATAAAACCTCAAGCCAAACCACAGGATAACCTGCAGTCCACTAAGAATGAGGGCAAGGAGCTGAGGTTTGCTTATCCTGAGCAGATGTAAGAGTACTTGTACCATTGATAAAGTCATAAATAGCAGTAGCTATTTCCTCTCTGCCTTTTGCCTCCTGCCTGTTAAATCACATACAAATTATAGCAATATTTCAGAGAATATATATCCGTGTTCATTGGATACACAATGGATTTTCAGTAAATGATTGTGCAAAAAGTAAAGATTCCTTAGAATGATATGAGTGCATGTCTTGAAGCTTCCTACACTCCACATTTCCTTTAATTCCTCTCTCAGTGGCAGCTTATGTTGAACAGAAAAATAGAAGTATACCTCAAAATATTAATTTTCAGAAATAATTAGTGAAATAATTACTCAAATAGTGCTTTACATCAGGCATATTTAATGAAAATGCCTATAGACACCAACTTCTAACTAGTTTTTTCTCAGAAAATCAAAAGTCCCATTGCTCTGTGCATCTGCTAAAGTATTATATCTGACCAGTATCCCATTTGGTCCAAACACCCACTAAAATGCTAATTACTGAACGCAAATACAAGTCTGTGCACTGGTAAATAACTATGCTTGCAACACTGCACACATTTGTTATAGCTGAATAGAAGCATAGAATGCTTGGGGTTGGAAGGGACCTTTAAGATCATCTAGTTCCAACCCCCCTGCTATAGGCAGGGACACACTAATACCAGCTGAATAGTTGTGAACGGCAGGAGGCTTCCCATCCCAAATCCTAAGCAACAAAAATGTTCAGAAATACTGTCAAATATCTTCTTTTTCTTTTCTTTTCTGTCAGACTTAGAATCTTTTTGTGCACTGGGGAAGATATCATGCCCAGCCACCCTTGGAAACACTGGAAAATAGCCTTCCCTATATCTGCACCCCTCACCACACACACAACCCCATAACATGACTCCTTTCTGTCAAACTTATATGTGATTCAAGTCCAAACAACATGGCATTTTGGGTAATGGATGCTATAATTAAAATGTGAGTCCTAAAAAACCTGTTGTTTTAGTGGGTGTTTTTAGTAATGGCTTTGTTCTACACGAAGATAAAAACTCCCTAACAAAGGAATTAATGTATTGCTTTAATAGGCTGCACCCTGAGTTAAGTTTTAAAATTTATGAGTTCTCTGCAGCATTGTTCTTTAAACAATGGCATTGTCAAACGCAACCAGTGAGAAGATTAAAGTTCTCCCACCAGATTAAGTACAAATTATCTGTCCTCCTGTTTCAGCATCATTTGTTCATTTATCACATAACGTCTAGTATTTCTGGTCAGTGTCAATATGCTCTGCATCCTTGCAGTTAACAGATGTCTTCTCTCGTCGAATGAATTACTTTATGTTTCACGCACTGGTGGCCGCAGATGTGTCACTATAGCAACATCATTAATTTCAGATCTTACCGGAAACATGCACTCCAATCAAACCTAATTATACCACATTGCTTTCTTGTCCCACAATAAGGAAACTATAATGCAATTATTGGGATAGTTCATTTTCTATTCTACTGTGGCAAATGAGAGAGCCACTGTGATGGACGCTTCTTGTCAAAAAGCTTATTGATGAAGCACAAACCCAATTTACAATCATACAAAGGACTACCTTGCAATTATGTTAGTAAGGCAATGCTCCTTAGACTCAACAGCTAATTCTCAATCATTTCCAGTGAAGCTTGGACCACAGTATAAGATTTGTGCAGACTGCTCTCTGTATTTCCTTTCAATATTGAGAAAATTTTCACTTGTTTATATCTAACTGGATGAGTCTTTTAGCCCTTCATAATAGCACCCACATGGATGGACAGATATAAAACTAGCTCCCTCCTCTCTGTTTTGAACAGGCAAGCGTACAGAATCAACTGGAAATTCCAGAGAGAAGGCTCTGAAACCAGCTCTCATGAACAGCGTATAATCATGCAATGGCAATTCTGGATTGACTGCACAGAATCTGTTCATTACGTAGCAGCACGTTTCATGTTTATGATAAAATGCAGAGTAAGACCAAATATATTAGGGAAAGGAAAAGGAAAAAAGCTGATAATATACTCAGGTAAAGTGCACGTCGGTGTCATGTTTGCCTACATTTAAAATGTTTAAAAATTTTAGACAATTAGGACATTTTAGACAATTTAGAGCAATGCTTTGCATCACGGACTCAGGAAGAGCAGAAGTCTGCAAGGCCACAATTAGTTTTCTGAAGTTTGTCAGGTCTATGAGACTCCAGGCTTATTTTCACTTACAGAACAAAAGTGACTGCAAGTGGCACCATGCAGCCTGAAAAAAGCAAAAAACCGTCCGTAGAAAACTGGGCTGTTTCTCTTTCTATAAAGACGTCTACAAAATGTTTCCTTTCAAGATTTCATAAATGTAACAGAAACGTAACAGTATTTTTGCTTTAAATAATTCAGTTCCACTGAATTTTATGTTAATGGAAAATCCTTTCTTTTTTTTTTGTATGGGAGAGTAGTTATATTTTTAATTACTGTTGTATTAGGTTAAGTTTATCAGATAAAGCTGCTGCACCTCTTTTTTAAACTAGTTAGTAGGTATGTACAAAGCCTTGAGGAAAAGAACACAGTTTAGTGATCCTTGAGCTTCAGAATATAAATTGATTACCAGACAGGGTGAGAATATAACTCCTTCATTTCTATGGTATGACTTCAGAACTCTAGAGTTGACTGAACAGTTAGTTTCTTAAGATTGTCAATGCAACCTAAGTGTAAGCAGACAACTCATACAGATCATACACATGATCAGACACTCATACATGAATCATAGCTCTAGATTGAAGTGGAAACTGCATTCTGTATCAGAAAAGCTGACCCTTGTTTTTGCTCAGAGAGTAGAATTCATTCACCCAAAGCACCATGTACTGCATTGTTTTGAGGCTTCATCACATTTTTTTTTGCCTTTTCCCAAATATATGCTGTAAATTACATATTTCCAGACTATGATGAGACAGTGCTCCTAAAGTTACATAAATTATCACAATAAAGGGTGCAATTAAAATCAACAAGCAGTTTCAAACAGCACAGAAATCATTAGCTAATTGAAATAAAACTTGCTAAAAGAATTGTTCACTTGCTTTGAAGAATTACCACATTGTAATTGAGAATACTTTTCTATATGTTAAGAAAGATGGCAATTGTCTTTCTCTTTTAACAAATGGAAGAACAGCATTCAGCAGCATACAACGTTACGTAGCTATCCATAGAAAAAGAGGAAAATGTATTTGCAAGGATGCCTATATATGCCTATATACACGTTTCATTTCAAAATATGCACTAGAGGATCCACTCAGCAAGAGAGGGAATGTGGACTCATTTCAAGCAGAACGACTTAAAATGGGTATTATGCTTTCTGTACAACAGAAGGCAAACCTCTCCAGAAACTTTCTCACAATGAAGAAGTAGATTTTATTTGAAACTGCAAAAACATTCCTTCAGCTGTTTGAGAAACAACTCTCTCCTTCCAAAGGTAGCTCAACTCAGCTTCTTTAATGAAGAATACAGCTATCTGAACTGATTTGCTGAAGCTCAGTTAAAAAGAACAAAAAAATCCCCCAAAAACAAACAAGCAAAAAGCAAAACAACAGTGTAGAAAAAATAATGCATTTGCTAAAGGTCTTTCTATTTATTATGATATTTTCTAAAATAAACTTTAGGAATCTCTCAGTATTTCCAAGGTTTAAGAGCATGGTAAGACTGTAACAAATTCCAGTTACAGCAGTATAGAATGCAGAACAAACTTACCTCTGATCCCAGTAGGGACTGGGGTTTTCAGTACACTAGGTCAGGTGTAGTAATACACTATGGTTAAGAAGATGAAATCATACAAATTGGCCTTTGTAAAGCATGCAGCATCTAATTTCATGGGAATAACTAGTGTAATTTGAGATGATGATTTTATTAAACGAATTTTGGAAATGAGTTGCCCTGTTGGAAGCCATTATTAACTGCAGCTATCATACAGTACTGCAATAGCAATAAGAAGCAGAATAAAGGAGCATCCTATGTGCTAATTCAGTCTTTTCAAAGTAGGAGACCTGTTAATTTATGTTACTCTTAATAATGCCTTCAAACATCCTGTTAATGCCAGAGTTTTCCCACCAGAATAAAACAGGGAAGTACCAAATACAGACTTTCATGGGTAAGTAGCAGCCTAACTAAGCTAATGGGCACTGGTACAACAAAACCCTCCAGCACATGCTTAACATTTTACTGAAAAAATAAAAATCAGCACTCTAAATCTACTCTTACGTTAACATTTCAGATAAGAATAAAGCTTAGAAATTCTATAAAAGCCATCATATTTCAGAATTGCAACTTGATATACCTGTTTTATCCGTTAGCAAATAAACCAATCGTCCCAGCTCTTCTGGTATGGTGCTAGTTCGAACAACTGTTCCAGGAATGTTGTCATCTTTCATAATCATCCATCCATAGGCTGCCTTACCCATGTCCAAGTTCACACGTAAACTGCAAAGGAAATGTATACCATAATCAGTGTGAATATTAGGCAAAGTGTAATTTAAAACCATAACAACAATACTGAAAACTGCTTTTAGAGTTCTCGATGAAAAGGTCTTAAAAGTACAAGCAGCAAACATTTTGGAACATCACTGTTATCTGTTTGTAGGATACACAGCACGTTAGAAACTCATGTTGCATTTCAGACTTCTAGAAAATACTGCAATGCAAAACAAGTTGGTAACATGCCTTCTACATGAGACAGCATCAACTCTTTTTGGAGGTTGTTGTGCCTACACTACTACAGTTACACACGAGAGTGTTACACATTTTATTCTGCTGGTCAAAACTGAACAAACTTGTAAAAATGTAAAATATGACTGTTTTCCTTTCAGAAAGTACAGATATATTTGTCAACTTTTTCTCACTGCAACTAATCAGCAGTGTCTCTGTCCTTGCCAAAACGTAATTACAGAGGCTCTCAATTGCAAAATGAGAATAGTGCCCAAGCAGCGCAATCTACCTTCCTGTGACAGCGTGTGTGCCAGAGTTGCTACTGCCAGCAGTAAAAAAGAGCCTTTGAGTAGCTCTGTACTGGAAATTTGAGTTTGCAGCAAATTTTGCTAATTACAGAAGTACACAATCACAAGAAGTTTTTTTTTTTTTTCAATTTGTTCTGTGCCTGCATGATTTTTTAATACTTCCATGACTGTGAAGCACAAGAATTAATTGCCCTGGTCCCTAAGTCATTATACCCAAGTCTTCACTCACACTGGTCAGAGACAAATAACATTGCTCTTGCCCCAAATTAAATTTTCTAACTCAAAACCAGTTCATAGAATCACAGAATGGCCTGGGTTGCAAAGGAGCACAATGCTCACCCAGTTCCAACCCCTGCTGTGTGCAGGTCACCAACCAGCAGCCCAGGCTGCCCAGAGCCACATCCAGCCTGGCCTTGAATGCCTGCAGGGATGGGGCATCCACAGCCTCCTTGGGCAACCTGTGCCAGTGCCTCACCACCTCTGAGTGAAAAACTTCCTCCTAATATCCAACCCAAACCTCCCCTGTCTCAGTTTAAAACCATTCCCCTTGTCCTATCACCATCCACCCTCACACACAGCCGTTCCCCCTCCTGTTTCTACGCTCCCTCCAAGCACTGGAAGGCCACCATGAGGTCTCCCACAGCCTTCTCTTCTCCAAGCTCAACAAGCCCAGTTCCCTCAGCCTTTCCTCACAGCAGAGCTGCTCCAGCCCTCTGCTCATCTCAGTGCCTCCTCTGGCCCCGCTCCCAGAGCTCCACGTCCTTCCTGTGCTGGGGGACCCAGGCCTGGACGCAGCGCTGCAGATGGGGCCTCACAAGAGCCGAGCAGAGGGGGACGATCACCTCCCTCTCCCTGCTGGCCGCCCCTTTTTCATGCAGCCCAGAACACAGCTGGCCTTCCGGGCTGCAGGCGCACACTGCTGCCTCATGGCCAGCTTCTCGTCCACCAGGACCCCAAGTCCTTCTGCGTAGGGCTGCTCTCAAGGAGATCTTCCCCCAGTCTGTATCAATACCTGGGGTTGCCCCAGTCCAAGTGCAGCACCTTGCACTTGATCTTATTGAACCTCATTAGGTTCACATGGGCCCACTTGTCCGTTCTGACATTTCCCTCTTATTCACCAAAATCATGCCACCACAGCAGGAAGAAGACTGAGGACCAGGCACACATTCCTTTCTGTTGACCATACCAGAAATACAGAAAAGACAGATAAATGGTGGCAATGCAAACAACTTGTGGGCAATCTGCCAAAGGTACAGGGCAGAGTCCCATGTTTAATATCAGGTTTACGATAACACAACTCTCACAATTGTCCAAAGGTATTTCAAGGACAAAATCCTGCTAATGTACATCAGACCTTTTTTTATTATTATTATTTTTTTCCCTAAATAAAAATATTAACAGTAATAAAAAAAATGGGTTTGTTATACAGCATAACCAAAACTGCAGCTAGTTTTCATCTCTCCTCTTGCAATTGCAGTGACAGAGTGATTGTGAATTATCTGAGGTAACAGTGGAGATAAAAATCTGATTAAGAGAAATATATTTAACTAGAACAGTGGAAATATCCAGTTCATCCCTCCCTTGATCCATATCCCTCTCCTTGAATCCCAAACATCCATATCCCTCTCCTTGAATTTGTGCGGCAGAATAAAATGCATGTTGCAATAGAAGGAAGCCTTTTTGATAAAATATTACTGACCATTAAAGAAGTAAATACCATCTTGAATTACCTCTTATTAGGTCTAAAATCAGCAACAGGAAAATGTGCCTCTACTTGGTAAAGTATCCCAGTTACTTCTGGAATAGCACATCTAACTTCAGACACAAATACATTAAAAAAATCAAGACAGACGACAGGAAGAGGACTCTATGAGGTACTTTTTAATGAAAATGTATAGTCTAACAGTACTGCAAGCCACAGCTTTACCTTTCCTTAGTCAATAGAGAGCCAGCAACAAGCTACCTGCATTTGTCACATGTATGTTTTGTCAACTTCGAAACTCAGACAGAAAATACGAACCGTTGTCACCAGGCTACACACTGAGACATGTAACAGTCAACAAAAGAAATGACAGAAGATTTACTCCTGCTAGGGACAAGAATCTGCTAATTTGTCAAGTATGAAGGGCAATCTCTAACTCAAGAAGAAAAACAAGAACATACTTTAACGGTGGCTAGACATTTGCTCTAGCATGCATTCTATGTGAAGTATGAAAGCTCTCATGATCCCGTGCCAAAGAGATAGTTGGCCTATAAAGATTTCTTGCCTGGCCTACCAAGATAGTTATTCTGTGATGAAAGCTCTATTTAAGAGTGGCAACCTCAAGCACAAGGCACACAGAGAGAAATCCACATGGCTGCTCTGCCAGTGGAGATCTCACTGCTTCAATGAGATCAAATCACAGAACTCTCAAAGCTTGACAGTGCAGTTTATATTTTCACTTGCACTTTCATAAGCAGTTGTGTTGCCTGATTTTGAATACATTCTGTATGATTTTAGTAATAATTTATCAAGTGTAATTTGAAGGTAAGGAAAAAAAGATACCTTCTCTTCATAAGAAGTGAAGAAAAATCCGTAATTCAAAGCCTGGAAACGTTTTAGGAATTACCCTATCTTTCTAGCATGCATTGCTAAGTGGAACAGAGTGAATCTGCAATTCACTCTGCAAATGCCTAAATAGCAACTGGCATCACTGGTCTCCAGAGGCCAGTGATATCTGCACAATCTTCCATAGCAGCATGAGCATACACCTTCCCCCTGTGCTTGCTAAGTGATAAATTTACTAGATAGCATTGGCAAATCTTGTAAACTTATGGAGAATGTATTTCAAGCAGTGATTTTATTTAAAATCAAGTAATTAAATCATCTGAGTGATACTCGAGGAACGTAGAAACGGCCTTAACGATTCTCCAATTGGCGAGAGCCAATTAAAAAAAAGCTTATTGAGAAATGTGGGACACTCCAAGAAATTCCAGAACATCTGGAAAAAAAACCCAAAACTGAATAGCCGAATGTAACAGTTTTGAACAGCCTGTCAAGGACTTGGTTTCTATACTCTGCTCCCTGTAAATTAAGAAATTCAAACTTTATATGGAAGCACATCGTAGGGAGCCTCTCTATACTATGCTCCCTCCATACAGAAAAAAAAAAGAAATCTAGGTGCAAAGGAAACATCAAAATACACTGTAAATATACTGTTTTCTTAAGGGCAAAACATTTCTTGAGATTGGGGTGTTCAAAATATCCTGTGCATAACTGATCTATTTTATAACCCATGAAGAGCTGGGCTAAGCTCTACATATTGATTTACTACTTTTTCTCCATGTTACTTAATTCCTTGCAGGCTACTGAATGCATACCTTGTCTTCCCAATTTCATTTATGACATTGCTTTTATGTTTATATTTCTAAAGTCTGACATGCTCCATCACCCACCACTCTACAGTCATATACAGAATGCAGCGTGGACAACCAGCTGATCCCTGGAGGATAAAAAAAGAAATGTTCCTCTTTCCATTAATTATAGGAGAGGATGTACAGGGACCAGTTAAATTCTGCTAACAGTTAGTCATTCCCTTCTGGTGATCTGCACCAAACTTGTCTGGAGATGTAAACTTATTTTTACTGCATAGCTGGATTTTCCTTGTCCCATAAACCAAAAAAACCCAAAATCAAAGAAGTTCCATATTCAGAATCTTTCTGAATTCTCTAAAACCATCAATCAACTCAATCAACAGCTCTCAAGCATGAATGCAGGTGTGCTTTGCCTTTCCCAGTCAATCCTACCCTCCCACGTTCAATTCCTTTACCTTTACAGCACAGTTCATTATTCACCTGATACAGCTATTTTAGAAATAAGGAGAGGACACAACACCTGGTGCTCCAGCTTCATTAGTCTTGCAATTTTAATTGCCAAGAGTCTACACTTCAAACACAGTCCTAAGAATAAGTTATTTCCATGCTTAGCTCTCCCAGAGGAAAGTAAGAAATGTAGTAATATCTGAACATCATCATGACTGGAGTTGTTAAATTTGCTGGCAGTCTAAGAAGCAGCTGTGTATGTACACAATCTGAGCTGAAGAAAAATTGGTATAGGAATAGATAAACATAAAGTGGGAAAAAGTACTCTCTGTTGGATACTTGTCTCATCTTCTACAGTGGTATTTCTGCATTGCTTATTATCTTCCACATACAATTGAAGAACTGGATTAGGCTTATCCTAGAAATTATTTTTGCATAAGAACCTTCCCTAAGTCCATTAGGACACGCAAATTGCTTTCCTAAGAATTCAAAATGAAAAAGAAGTTACTTTTTCAGTGGCACATAATGATTTGCCACTATAGAGTCAAATTTACACTGTATGCTCTTAGAATCATAGAATTGTTGGAGTTGGAAGGGACCTTTAAAGGTCATCTATTCCTGCAATCCCTTGCAATGAACTGGGACACCTACAGGTAGATCAGGTTACTCAGAGCCTCGTCCAGCCTGACCTTGAATGTCTCCAAGGATGGGGCATCCACCACTTCTCTGGGCAACCTGTTCCAGTGCCCCACTACCCTGATCATAAAAAAAATATATTTCCTTATGTCCAGTTTCAATCTCCTCTGCTCTAGTTTGAAACCATTTCTCCTTGTCCTGTCACAGCAGACCCTGCTAAAGAGCCCATCCCGTTCTTTCTTTTAACTTCACTTCAGATATTGAAAGGTTACTATAATGTTTCCCCAGAGCTTTCCCTTTTCCATACTGAACAGCCCCAGCTCTCTCAGTCTGTCCCTACAGGGAGGTCTTCCATCCCTTGGCTCATTTCTGTGGCCTCTGGATGCACTCCGAAATGTCCACATCTCTGCTGTACTGAGGATTCCACTCTGGGACGCAGTACTCAAGGTGAGTTGCTGGATGCAGAGCTGTTGCATCCGGTAACAAAGATATCTCTGTCTTTTATTAATTTTAAAAAGTTTGGACTTTTATTTACTATGGAATTTATTACTTTTATTTATTACAGAATAGCACAGTGAAAAACAAGTGATCATTCATACTCTTAGCTTAGTTTTCCCTTGCTGTCTTTGATGATGAAGAGTGTCTTTAAGTACACCTCACCCATCACTTGAGTGTAGCTTGTTTAGCCTCTACACATGAATTATTTGCTTAATATTAAATAATCAAAGGGTGGCAACGACAACACATCCTAAACAACATCATAATGCAAACAGAAAGGGAATTATGGCAATGACAGTGTTTGGAGAAGTATCACAACATTGAAACATGGATGTGTAATAAAACCAGGAGCCACTCGCAGAATCATAGGAACAATTAAGTTAGAAAGAAAGACCACTAAGATTATCTAGTCCAACCCTAAATTCATCTCTACCACGTCACTCAGTGAGACATCCACACTTTTCTTGACGACCTCCAGGGATGGTGACTATAACACCTGCCTGGGCAACTTCTTCCAATATCTCACCACTCTTTCAGAGAATAAATTTTTCCTAATAACTAACCTGAAACTGAAAAAGCCCCGCCAAAATTTGAAGCCATTACTTTTTGTCCTATTGCTAGGTACCTGGGAGAAGAGGCTGAGCCTTGCCTCGCTACAACCTCCTCTCAAGTAGTAATAGAGAGTCTTCCCTGAGCCTCCTCTTCTCCAGACTAAACAACCCCAGTTCCCTCAGCCTCTCCTCTTTAAGTCTTGTGCTCCAGACCCCCATGAGCACCACTGCCCTTGTCTGGACTTACTCCAGAGCGTCTCAGTGAGGTGCTCAAAACTGAACACAATGCTTGAGATGCGGCCTCACAAGTGCACAGCACAGGGGGACAATCGCCTCCCTAGTGCTGCTGACTGCACTATTTCTGATACAAGCCAGGATGCCATTGGCCTTCTTGGCCACCTGGGCACACTGCTGGCTCGTGTTCAGCTGGCCGTCAGCTAACACCCACACATCATTTTCCTTTGTGCAGCTTTCCAGCCACTCCGTCCCAAGCCTCTCGCAATGCGTGGGGTTTTTGAAACCAGAATACAGGACTCGACACTGGATCTTGTTAAAGCTCATACAATTGGCCTCAGCCCATCAATCCAGCCTGTCCAGATCCCTTGGTAGGGATTTCCTACCCTCAGGCAGATGGACAGTTCCTCCCAACTTGGTGTCATCGGCAAACTTACTCAGGCTGCACTTAATCCCCTTGCCCAGATCATCAGTAAAGATGAGTCAACATAATAACAATAGAGTCAGCCCCAGTACTGACCCCTGAGGAACACCACTATGTGTGTGGTTGCCAGCTGGACTGGTCAAAGGAAACTGAAAGGAAATGGAAAGTCCACAAACTCCTGCAGATTTGCTGGAAACTTTTCTGCATCGTCACAACAAAACCAGCTGCTCTTAAAACAGAAAGTACCATAAAGCACAAGTCCTTAAGACTCTTACTGAGTGTCAAACTGGTCAAACATGACATTTTGTTTCACACAGACATACACACACAAAAAGAAATGTGAGCAAAAGTCAGACAACTCAGGTAAGCTTAGGTTCAGAATGTAATGAAATTCTTTTTTTCTTTTTTTTTATCTCCTATACTACATGGGTTTAAATATTTTGTACAAATCCCAGGGAACAGGTATAAAATTTAAGAGACAGCTGCTAACTGTGGGTAGTCACTGGACTGATGTATCTGAAAGATCCAGAGAACATCTAAAATTAATAGACACCTTAATCTAAACTCTGGGAATTTTAACAGAAGACAGTATTTCCATTTTGCAAAGGCAATACCCACTCAGAAGAAAATAAGAATAAAATCATTTCAGAGTCAGTGTTCTAACTATTCTATCCACAGCGGACAAGATTACACGGATGGATATTATTTCCTGTTCCAGTTTATCTGCAATTTGAATATACAGTACTCATGCTTAATGAATTAATTAATTCATGGCAAGTCTCTACTTGGTTACACCTCTTAAAAGTCTTGCCATTGCCAAAGTGCATTCAATCTAAATTAATCATAGCTGTAGTAAAAATAAAGCCAGTATTAGAGAAATTGAACATTTTCAGTGCTAAGGCAGTAAAGAAGTCAAATTCTAAAATACACCAAGCACTTCATTCAAATGCATGTTTCCTAAAACCACATTCTCAAATATACCAAGATTGTATCCTTATTAATACATTTATGCTAGCAAAGGATTAGATATCCTGATTACTCCAGCAAGATGAACATTATACAAAAAGAATACAACAGTATTGTTTTCTGGATAGTGATACCTCAAGAATCAGCAGATTTGTTGGCACCTTCTCCTTCAGCTTCCTGATAAGATCAATTTCCTTCACAATGAGCAGTGAGTATAAATTTCAGCAAAGCCACATTCAGTGAAATTAGACATCTGTGTTTTTCTTTCATTCTTATACATACCTGATGGGGATGATATAGGAAAACAGGAGGAGGAACCGGAAAAGGTTGCGATACCACGGGCCTACAAATCCTTGCAAGGTTACCATAACGACTGATAATGCAACTAAAGCCAAAAACAGTGCCTTGGTCAGTTGATTCAACTCCAAGTCCAGCAAGCCAACCTAAAGGAAGAAGTAAAAATCAGGTAAGTCATGAGTGTTGCTTTTTCTCATTGACTCATTTGCAGTGCAAACAACTAGCTACTACCAGGTGGTTTTCTTTTGTACCAGCTAAAAAAACCACACACTTGTAACAAATAACTACGTTTTGATAACTGAATTGATTGCTGTTCCCATGCTTGCACATCTAATAGATGCCCCATGGCTGCAGAATCAGTGTGAACCATCTCAGTCAGGCCATTTGAATGTCTTCATATTCAACATATGCTTCCCCCTGTCCTCTGATCCAGGAGAGGAACAGAGCAAGGGAAGAAAAGAAGATGAAGAAGAACAGATGAACAGAAACAATTTCCTGCTGTCATGTATGCAGCAAAAATCCTAGCAGCGCATTTGATGTTTGTAGGGTGGCCACTGCTTGTTTACTGCATGGTAGAATCAAGAGTAAATGGACAAATACAGCTGAGCACTGTCTTGTCCATACAATGAGCATACTGTAACTTATAGTTACGTGCCCATACCGGTCTGCAAATCCAAACCCATCTCATCAAAACTGTTTCTGATTACATTCTGAATAAATGAAAGTTTTCTAAGTCAAAAATGGCATAACCATTTTCGAACCAAAACAGCAAAACAGAACTTCAAGTTTTCCTGAGTAAAAAGATATTTAATGTAGAAATACCGCAGTGAAAACACTGAGTTGCTATATTTCATCCACTGTTTCCCATGAAAAAGTATTTCAAACTATGCAACTAAGACTCTCACCATTTCAATAATGCATAGTGCAAGGTAAGTATTTATACCCCACTTTTTGAGAAGTTCTTGTAGTCAGTAAAATATGTGGGAAAATTATGTCAAGAGCTTCCTAGGCCCCGTCCCAGATGCCCTTTTATCTCCAAGTCCCGCCAGTAAGACCAGTAAAACATAACCCTTCCTTAGATAACAAGCCATTTAAATATAGTTCTTAAAAATGTCAGCAATCTTGCTTATACATGGGCGGTCCCTTCCCTAGAGAACCAGGCAGCTGAAGACCACAGTGGCTGATTTATCAGCTGCATTTAGAAAGCAGCACAACGAGGACAAATATCTTGCAATTTCCGCTGCTTCAACTACTACATAGTTTATGCTTGAATTATTGAGAAAAATAGGTTTTTGGATTAAAATGAAGAAAAATTAAGCCAGGGAAGTAGAGCATGTTTCAAAGCCCAGATCTTTTTGCGTTGACAAAGGCAGCCTAAGTTTCAGGCCTCGCTGAGGATCAGATGAAGTCATTATTCATTCAGTCAGGGAAAAAAGACTCAATTACCTCAACCTAAAGATGCTATCAATGAATGCAAAGTGCATATTTTACTCTATTCATCCAAATCCCATTAAAAAGTGAAAGGAATGATTTAATCTGGCCTTCCAGAGTTGGTCTTTTTTTTTGTAATAAAATAAAGAATCACTGTCTTGCAATATGCATAACCACTACCTCACACTTTTTTTTTCCCCTGCATCATAGCAGTGAAAGCCTATCTTTCCCCTAACCCCAGTACCGTTCCCCCCCTTCATGCCCTGTAAAAACCACACCCCATAAGAGAAAGGAATAAAGAGCTTCTTTGGAAAGAATGCCACTTTTGGGACAGAAACATCAAGTGTAGTTCACTGCACACCGATACGTAGCTAACTCAAAGCATTAATACCTTTTCAATTAATAAAGACATGTATATTTATGTTTGGAATTAACAAAAGTGTTTCTGGAAGGGTATGAAGAGGATAAAAACTTGATGATGAAGATTTTTCATGGAACAAATCTCCCAGAACATCTGCCTTTTTAATATGGAACATACTACTGCCCATACAGTTTTATCTTTTTTTTTTATCATTTACTATAGCAAGTGAAAGCAATTGCAAACCCCTGCTTAAAGTGGTAAACAAAAGAAGCTTTATTATAAGTGCATTCTTCTTTCCTCAAAAACTTGTTGTTATAATGTACTGAAATAAACTTAATTCTGTTTCCACTTAGACAACTTCTGCAATCTAACCAATGAAACTCTCAGATTGTCAACTTTTCAAGTAGAAATGCATTAATATTCTCTAAAATTCACCTCCATACTGACAAAGAACATGACTGAACTCTATTGTTTTATCAAACCGTCTGCATACTGTATCATCCTATTGAAAATAATCACGACCAGAACAATTATGACTACACAAGGAACCGATGAGTTAAGAACTGGCGTAATTTTCCATATTGATTGCTATTTCTCATACTACCAATTTTTCTTCCACTTGTCATAACATTTGTTCTGTCTGAAACAACCGTGTTAACAAAATTACACACGGCTGGAAATTTTAATCTCCAAGGGGAAATTTGTACATAACGTCTAAAACAGCCACAGCAGTTTTGCAAAGGGGCTGCACGATCATAATGAACGCAGTAATTGCCTGTATCATCCAAAATGCTACTAATGGCAACAACTGCAAACCCATTTAGCTCCTTTTTAATTTATGTGGGAAATTTTAAATAGCTGACGGTACTCAGTAAAATAATGGCTAACAGCACCAGTACAAAGTATGGCGCTGTGTCTACTTGTACCAAATGCAAAAAAAAGCTACTAGTTTTTAAAATACAGCATTTGGAATCAGGAAATTATTAGGACACTGAGCTTTGTGCTGTGGACTACAGTGCTGAAATCATCATTCTATTAAAAAACAACCCACCTTAATTAGCAGAAGTTGAAAGCAACAACAAATCTTTCTGACTTCTGAATAGAACTTGCACAGCAATACTGGTACGGCTGCCCTAGGTGCTTAACTTCTAGGAATGGTTTTGTTCTGAACCTGTTATTGCACTAACAGAACAAACTCTAACATCAGAAGGACACGACTTAGAAATTTAGGAAGATATATATCTTTAATGCTGGAATACTGAAATGCAAACTTTGATAATTAAATGATGCATTATTGACAGTAAAGATTTCTCACAAGGTCTAAACTGTAACTGAATTAAAATGACTGGCACTAAAGTGCACATGACACTTGCTGATACACTGTTGGTTTATTTTAAGCAAACAAACTAAAGCACCCTACTTAAGTACTAGCAAAGTATGAAGAGAGAACCGTGGCATCCCTGCCCTAAACTCCTCCCCAAGCATAATTTATTTTGGGTATCTGTCTGGTTCTGCACTGACAAGCACCCCGCTGAACACAATGAAGCTGCATGGTACATCTGACTGTGGTTTCAGTTTGCACTCTGAACATCTAAATGTTCCTTAGCATTCCTTAAGAAATACTCTGAACTTTTACATTATTCAGACTGAATACTTGTCAATTATTTATGTTTTCATTCATTGCAATTAATCACAAATATTTTTTCTCTGGATAAGAAAACGGATTCAGAACACTTTTTCACTTTTTAAAAAACATGCATATAGATTAATATACACAGTTAGCTGCTTATATCTGAAGCTCTATGGCTTCTGTTCCCATCTGTTAAAATTCTTCTTACCATCCCTAGAAATAACAGATTACTAACCTGAGCTTAATGGTTGAATAAAAAAACCAAACCCATCACTATCTGTTTACCTTAATTTTTGACACTACAAATGTACATCAAATGTAGAATCAGCCAATGTTTCTTCTAACTCCCTATTTCTACAGGTGTTTCTGTGATTTGAACTCTTGGCTGCTCAGCAGTCTGAGTGCTCACACTGGGCTAGCACAACTATCATTCATAACAAGTACAAATGAATTTGTGGTTAGAAAACATCTTTCCTTAGTTGCTTATACTCAGCTAATGGTATGACAAGTGTTTCCCTACAGGGATGCCTTGATCAATGTAAAAAAAAAGGTTTGTTATACCTTCATATATATATAACTTACTCGTTCTTTTAAGCAGTAGACACAAAGTAGGAAAAGCAAAGCAAACAGTGAAGCACAAAAACAGTGACCATTCAGTGAAAAATGTCACTTTCGCATGCTATTTCTTAGGCTGCTCTTCAAACTTCCTTATCACGTTTGGTTATGACAGCAAACATGCCCAAAGCTGAAAACACCTTTTTGAAGCACTGAAAACATCTTGTTTATTTCTTTTTGAGTCAGAGCAGTAATTGTGGTGCTGTGATTTCCAGGCAGCAGGGGGAATGTTCTACTTGGCTGAGTAGAACTGAAATAAACTTTAGCAATTCAGTCCACTCCAGTGGTTATACTAAAGCAATAACCAGGAAACGGTTCATTTGATTCCAATAACATTTTCTGTTTCCTTTGGCAGAAAAAAAAACAATATATATATACATTATATATATAGTGCATTTCTCATACTAGCTTTACTACAACCCAATGTCACTTCAACCAAACTAAATTATTTGCACTATATTAATTCTGCAGGCTTCCAGAACAAGTCTTATAACATTTTTAAATTCACCCTTCTGACTTGCTTTCACTTACTTTAGCAAGCTATTCATAACCTCATATCTACTTTTGAAATAAACTGATTACTTTAGATAAACAATTCTATTCTGTAGCTAGCTATATCGATAATGCTAAGAGAAAACTGGAACTCCAGCATTTGCTCCCTCTTGCTTCCTCCAGTCACCTATGCTGCACTGCCTTTTCCACAAATGCACACTGTCAGTATAAGCATCTCGTTTGGATACGGAAAGTGAAACTTCAGATTCCTCTCCAGATTGTGGTGGTGCTGTCTGCAGCTCAGTGCAGTACTACAGAACCTGTAAATCAGATACACGCACATCTTCGCATAGACAGTGAGCTGGGTTGTGCTCGTTTGGGCAAGTAGTGGCACAGCTTCACAACATGCTCAGGTGTGCTTTCTCTTTCAAACGTGTTCTGACACACTAATGCCTTATGGTACCTGTAGTACAACGTTATGTTTCAGCAGACTAGAATGAGAAACTGAAGGCGACTCGTTCTTCATATTCACTGGACTATAAAATATCCCACTCACTCCTCATCAACACTTATACGGTTGGTCTACATTTAGCACTATCCCACCATCTCTAAATGTC